TAAATGCAGAAGGAAACTATCACAAAAATGATCATGCGAAGGCTAAATTGTTATGCGCAAATGGTCATTTTCGTCGACGACATAAATATACAAATTATTTCGTCAACTTAGTTAGCATCATAGCTATATATTTAAACGCAGGTGCGTAGCTAGGATCTTATTTTAGGGAGGGGCGGTATTGAGCAAGTGAATCACTTAAATAGCGCGCGTGGGGGAGGGGATGGGTGAAAGGCCTCCCGCGCGAAGCGCGGTAACTTAGACGTTTCATTAAATTATTATGAAAAGAAGACGATTTGTTGTACCGTTCTCGACTCTTAGTCCTTGTCTGAATTCAGTTTCCCCATCCCACGCGCAGCGCGGAAGCTTAGACGTTTCATTAAGTTATTATAGAAAGAAGACGATTTGTTGTGTATCGTTCTCTACTTTAACCCTAATTGTCTGAATTCAGTTTCTCCCCCTCTCGCGCGAAGTGCGGGAGCTTCAACGTTTCATTAAATTATTAGAAAAAGAAGACTATTCATTGTACTGACTCTAAATCATTGTCTGAATTTTCAAAAATGTTTCTTTGTCCGATAAAAAGTCACAGCTCGAAGGGGAAAAACTTACTGGCCGACCGACATAACAAAAATCCCACCGACTTCAACCCCACCCCCCCCCCCCTTTAGCGACGCCCTGAATGTAGAGTGGCCTGAGCGGGTAGGCACAGGGCTTGGTTCTAAACCTACAGAGACACTTCGATGAAGACATCCTTATTTCATGATTGCGTGTGTTGAACTGCCCTGGACTTTACAACTTTAAACCTCCAGGGTTTATTTTGCATATATAGCCTATATAGGTATTTATCAAATATCATAGGTAGCAAATAAAGGATGACTAAAAGAGGAATGAAATCAAACAGATAGGAGAGGATGATCGAGCATAATGATGTGCACCAATCTATAATGATAATGATAACCGAGCCCGGCCAAAATATGGGGGGGGGGGCTCAATGATATCCGAGCCTCTCACAAAATATCGGGGGGCTCCGTGATGTTATCCGAGCCCCACACAAATATCGGGGGGCTCCGTGATGTTATCCGAGCCCCACAAAAAAACAATTGGGTGATATCTGAGCCCCACAAACATATAGGGAGGGGGGGGGGGCTCAAAGATATCAGAGTCCCGCCAAAATATTTGGGGGTTTCAATGATAATTATCTGAGATCCACCAAATATATTTTTGGGGGTCAATGGTATGCGAGATCCGATGTCTGAGCCCCCCCCCCCCCCCCTCCTCCCCAAATAAATATTTATAAAATGTTTATATTTGAATGGTAAGCCTGTAGATTATAGGTATACATGAGTTTCATGCCTAGAATATAATGATTGGGGAGGAGGGGGGGGGGGTTTAATGATATCCGAGCCCCGCAATAAGTATCGGGGGCGGCTCAATGATAATTATCTGAGCACCGCTTAAATATGGGGGCTCAATGGTATCTTAGCCCCTAAGGACTCAATGATATCTAAGCCCCACCGACAAATTTGGGGGCTTAATGATATCTATAAGCCCCGCAAAATATTTTGCGGGGCTCAATGATATCTGAGCCCCCCAAGCCCCCCCCCGGTCCCTAAGCCTTTGTACTTGTCAATGAAGTCTACTTTTTGAAACTTAAAGGGATTGGGTAACTTTGTCTCAGGTTCTGAAACAAAATCCTGGAATGACAGTAAGGGCTAGTTCTGACCGGAAAACGACCCAAATATCGGATTATGGCAAGCTGCCCCAGGGCCTTGTCCTATATACGGATCAGGAAAACAATACTTGTCAGGACCTGTGGAACGGCGGGCTTGGGGGCTCAAGCCCCCCCCCCACACTTTTGAAAAAGTATATTAAAGATAATGAAATAAAAAGAAATAGAAAAGAAAGTATGCTCATGTGACCGTAATTAAATGCCCATACCCCTGAGCTTCCGGGGGCTCTGCCCCCTTGATCCCACCTTGTGCCCTAAGGCTGCAGCCATGGCCCCTGAATGCTCATCTGACCGTAATTTTAATGCCTAAAACCCTGCGCTTCCGGGGCTCCACCCCTTGGACCATACGCCAATTATTGACCTGCTAGTGTCATGAATAAGGTATGAAAATATGCTCATCTGACCGTAATTAAATGCCCCTACACCCTGAGCATCCGCCAATTTGTGCTACGCTCTACCTTATCTTAAATACTCTAGCCTCCCCCACTCACTTTCAACCACATTTTCAATCACTTTTATTTTCCTGGATCACGAGTATATACTAGTAGTGAGTTGGTTGAAGAACGAAGCCACGTACAAAAGTATAATCGATTACAACAGTTTTGGGGCCGATATTCATAGAATAAAGGTTTTAAATAAAATATTCACTTCTACTTTCAAAAGGACTGGCCCATTTGCTTTAAAAAAAATTGTAGAGAGTTATTATTATGTAATATCTAGAAAAAATGTCTACCACATGATTTACCGAGTTGCTTCCTTTTATCAAATATACACGTAAAACAAAATGAGGACAGACTGTGCGGATAGCAAACCGCACGGATCGTCCCTCGGACGATCCGTGCGAGTCACGGGCGATCGATGCGAGCAGAAAACCCGCATGTTATGTCCGACGGACAAACGAAACTGGTAGGACAAACGGTGCGGTCACACCGGACTATGTCGCACAAAAAGTACCCCTTTACCGGACATTTTGGTAACACGCATGCGGTCATTCCTACCCCGGAGGGGGGGGGGGGGGGGCGGGGCGGGGCTATAATAGGGAATATGGAACGTGGGACCATTAGAAACCCATCGAAAAATCTCTAATGGACCAACAAGAACCCACAGAATTAATGGACCAACAGAAACCCATAGAAGATGTGGTGGATGTTGGTCCAATAGAAAGCTTTATGCCTTGGTCCATCTGCATTTGATTGTTTGTGGGCGTGTTGGACCAACAGATATTTTCTATTGGTTTCTGTCGGTCCAATATTTCACTTTCCCTATTGAAACCATTAGACACAATATAGCTCTAATGGTTTCTGATGGTCCAATCATATAGGCTATTGGATCCTATTGGAATTTCGACCTGGGATGTAGGCCTAATTCAGCTTTTCTTCTTCTGATTAATTCTGCCTCCTTCTGAATTAACTGAAGATTCTTGCAAACTATGTGCATGTGTTAACCCAATTTACGTCCATTCGAGTGATATTTACATAAATACAGTTATTTACATAGGCGCCGGAAGTGGGGGGGGGGGGGGCAGGGGCAAGTTGCCCCCCCCCCCCAACAAAAAAAAGTAGGGGGGAAACGCCATTTTCGCCCCCCCCCCCTAAAAAAAAAAAAAAAAAAAAAAAACGCCCCCCCCCCTCCAAAAAAACACACAAAAACAACAGTAAAGGAGTAATCATGGTTTGTATTTTTAACCAAAAGAATATAATAATAAAAACCTGAATTAAATCACATATACAATTCCATTCAAAGAAAAGGAAAGTTCACAGGAATTAAATTTCATAAACATTGCGCATGCCACCTATACGGTATTTATCAATGGAGGTCTTTATAATGGCGATACGCGCATATCGTGGACATATTGTGCCAGAATGGGAAAGCGTGTCTGTTTTTTGTTATAGGGGTGAGAAGACATAAGCCCCTGAACGCTGGCGTACAGATGGAGGGGGGGGGGTGTATTTCTTATTCGATACCAGTCGAACCAGTAACATTTACAAATGTTGCTGTTATGACATGATTTTCCGGTATTTTTCTCCATTTTTTTTGTAAGTCATACCTTTTATGCGTTGTTGGAAAATAAGAAATTCCCAAATTACAGTCGGGCGAAAAAACGCTTATAGAACCTTTATGTCATGGTCTGCAAAGTGGCTGGGCTCGAGCCCTCCCCTCCCCCTCCCCTCACTTTTTGAAAAAGTATGTTTAAGAGAAAAAGAAAGAAAGACGGAGAGAAAAAAATAAGTGACCTGCCAATGTCACAAATAAGGTATACAAAATGCTCATCTGACCGTAATCAAATACCTAAAACCCCAGAGCTTACGGGAGCCCCGCCCCGGACCCCACTAAAGGCCCTAAGGCGGGCCCCTGGATGCTCATCTGACCGTTATTAAATACCTAAAACCCCTGAGCTTCCGGGGTCTCTGCCCCCTGGACCCCACCGAGGGCCATAAGGCGGGCCCCTGGATGCTCATCTGACCACAATTAAATACTTAAAACCCCTGAGCTTCCGGGGGCTCTGCCCCCTGGACCCCACCAAGAGCCCTAAGGCGGCCCCTGGATGCTCATCTGACCGTAGTTAAATATAAAACCTCTGAGCCTTTGGGGGCTCCCCCCCCCCTTGAACACGTCAATGGCCTTAAAGAGGGCCCCTAGATGCTCATCTAACCGTAATTAAATACCTAAAACCCTTGAGCTTCCAGGGGCTCAGTCCCTTGACCCCCTGCCGAGGCTCATGCACTGGACCCCACGCCAATTTACGCTCTACCTGATCGTTAATACTCCACTTTGAAAAACGTTCCGCGGGACCTGCATGTAAGTGTAAGACTGGTGGTGATGCAGATTTTTCATCTGCCCCCCCCCCCCCAAAAAAAAAAAAAACTGCAACCTGAAATGCAACATGTTCATGTTTATATACTAGAACAGCGTCGGATCCAGGGGCCGGGGGTCGGGCCTGGGCTCCCTTCTAAAACAGGTAAAAACACGTTAATTAGACCTAGATCTATACCTTTATTTGGAGACGTACGTGCTCTCGTCCCTGATGCCTAAGGAGGGGGGGGGGGGGTGCGATTTTCAATTTTCGGGGGGGCAAACAAAAAGGAGAAGCTCCTATTACCCCCCCCCCCCCCGCTTTTTCAACGGCTGGCTATTTCGCCGCTAAATATTTTCTCACGAATTGGGCCCCTTCTTAGGCCCCCTCCCCTGCCGCCAGCTGGATCCGCCCCTGGACTAGATAGATCATCCGGATCGACGTACCGTACGTACCGATATTCAAAATCACGAGATCGAGATGCAAGTCATTTGACACATTTTTACTAGGTGGATCTCCCACGCATCGCTACTTAACAAATCATTGAAAGGCAGTAAGTCAGTAAGTAGCCTAAGTATTAAATCGATTGAGTGCTATAGCTGATTATGAAATGTTTTCTGATTCAGTTTTTTATGAAGGCAGGTGAATTTAAACTTTGCTAAAGCCAACAAACAAGCTCAAAATCAAAACACGAAGTCGAAGTCATCAGTGCAGTCCCACACATTGACATTGGGATGTTGTGATTTCGGACTAGGCCTATAGCACGTAGAACTCGCACATGCATAGCTGCATTACTATCCTGGCTGTGTAGTAAAAGCTGTGCTATTGATTCTCAACATTTCAAACACCACTCTGTACAAAATTCAACTGTTTTCACATATTGTTAGAAAAGAATAATTCAAAAATTCAAATCGTGAGCCACATTATTGCCCTACGGAGAGTTTTGAAAACAAAAATTATCGGCAAGAGCCAAGCTAAGACTGCGACTAGATTCTAGTCTACGTTGCCCGTACAGAGATCTAAAAACAATAATTATTGGCAAGACTTTGTTGCCCGTAAGGAGATCTAAAAACATAAATTATCGGCAAGACTTTGTAGTTTGTTGCCCCTACGTAGATCTAAAAACAATAATTATCGGCAAGACTTTGTTGCCCGTACGGAGATCTAAAAACAATAATTATTGGCGAGACCTCATTGGCAATACGGAACTCCTAAATTAATAACTATTGGCGGGACTACATTGCTGATACAGAGATATGAAAACATGTTTTCATAGAAATGACTGAATGCTTGAGAATTTACACACATGTAAAAATTTGTGTATTTTTGAAACGGTTTAAACGAAACCGCCCATATACATTTATCGGTTAAACGTTTAGCACAAAAACCGTAATGACTCGGGCTTAATTTTTTTATCATTTTGATGATTCCAGAACCTTGCAGTACACACCAACCAATACTTATAATGCTGGATGATTAACCTTTTCTGATCAATTTCACAACGTTTCTTTCACAATGCAATCGCATGACCAGAACTGGTCTATACCTTTAACTACGTAGAGTAATGGAGGGAGTTTTCGGCCGGTGGCAGTTTTCGGCCGGTCCGTTGGATGCATGGTAAAATCCCTTTAAAATACATTGCATAACAGCATATCACATATCACACACATACAATAACATGGCAGAGTCACTGGAGAACCACATTTGCAATGGAAAATGTATCCTCACATTTTACACGTGTCTGTAAGGAATATGGGTCCCATAAAATGAGCTGTATTTTAAGTATTTTTCAGATTTAGAGTCAGATTTTTTTAGCTCAAAAGTTTCTCACCGCATGTATATTATGATATCATTTGAATACTATAGCGCCGTATCTCTGTATAGTTTAGATTCCAATTTCTGATCACCGTACCCTCAGGTGTAGTTTTCGGCCGTGCGGGGGATTACATGTACGTGCTCTGGCTGCACACGTCTTTTTTTATTAACATAGCGAGCCCGTGCTCCCTACTGACTACGTACGTTCACGTGGCCTTTTTTTGGGGGGGGGGGGGGGGGGGGGGGGCCTCACGGCTATCACAGACAAAAACATGACTGAATCTAAATCAGCAGTGAGAAATTTGCTCATGGTGCTCATCACTCTTCATTACATGTATTATTATGACTTTTTGTTCTTCTAAGTTTGAAGTCTAAAGCTTCAACCTGGTTTCATCAGTTTAATATTCACATGATCAGTGTCATTTTGCATCGAGTTTTAAGAGTGTTATGTTTTTCAGAAAACTTGTGTTGCAAACATCCTTTTTGCTGTTGGTTAGTTACATGTATGGGCGCCTAAATCCAGTTAGAAGTCCAAAGTTTGAAGTTCACATAATCAAAGACTTCCAAAATCAGACTACCACTGATATTTGAGTTTGATGATCATTTACCCCACATGCATGCCAATATTTAAACAGTTGAATTTCAGATACGGGACGTTTTTATAATCCAATCCAAAACAAAAGATATTTGATATAGCTCCTTTTTCTTGCGGTTACAATGCACTGCACACACACTGCTCCAATACGTTTGGGCTACTTAAAAGCACATGCATTGTGTACCAGAAGAAAAATACTCAAACCTTGTTCTTCCTTTTTTCATCTTGCACCATCTACAGACTTGAATCCAATTCAGTATGAAAATGGATTTCCTACTGAACTAGCAGTCAGTACATACAATTGAGTGCCAGTATTGTCCACTCCTAGACATCCAGCAACATTGTCAGTGTAGGTAGAAGCTACCATGAGAGGACTAGACGTCTAGCAACATTGTCAGTGTAGGTAGACGCTACCGTGAGAGGACGTAGACATCCAGCAACATTGTGAGTGTAGGTAGAAGCTACCGTGAGAGGACTAAACATCTAGCAACATTGTCAGTGTAGGTAGAAGCTACCGTGAGAGGACTAGACATCCAGCAACATTGTCAGTGTAGGTAGAAGCTACCGTGAGAGGACTAGACGTCTAGCAACATTCTCAGTGTAGGTAGAAGCTACCGTGAGAGGACGTAGACATCCAGCAACATTGTGAGTGTAGGTAGAAGCTACCGTGAGAGGACTAGACATCTAGCAACATTGTCAGTGTAGGTAGAAGCTACCGTGAGAGGACTAGACGTCCAGCAACATTGTGAGTGTAGGTAGAAGCTACCGTGAGAGGACTAGACGTCCAGCAACATTGTCAGTGTAGATAGAAGCTACCGTGAGAGGATGGGTCAGAAGGGTTGTTTCATCACCACCGGGGTTCTAGGCGTCCTCCTAGCGATTGCTGGCATCAGTTTTGTTCACTACTTCCCTGTCATTTTCGAAGACATTGTGAAAAAGGTACGGTACTCATTTTTAACTTGTTGATTGATATGTTATAAATCTAAGATACTTGTATAGATTCACAGTTGCTTTTGAATGTTGTTTATTACCGGTAGTATTTTAAGGTTGTCTGGTCAAAAGGCTTGTTAAAGTTTCATACCTATAGTTCTGCATGAAGATTTACATACACTGTAAGATTTCACATGAGTTCATAAGGTGTTAGTTAGTCTGTTATAATTTATTTTAACAAGGGCCTTTAATACATGCTGGATGATGATGTTCTCTAGTGGGGATTCAGAAAGGAAAAAAAACAGGAGCCATGAGCGGTTTAAATCTCAAAAGAGATCTGGTAAAAAACAAGATGCTTTTAAAGTTTAATGTCGTTGTGAGGAAATTTTACTTGTGAAATACCACATCCTTAGAGAGCCCCTGCAATTAGAAAAGTACCAGGGTATGGTACTTTTTTTAAAACTGAGTGGGATAAATAATAAGGTTAATAGGAAAAAATGAAAATAGATAGAAATTATGTTTTAAGATATAAAACTTTTTTTCTTTCATAGTTTTTTAGGGATTACTGGACAATTTCTTCATCAAATTCAGTAATAATAATTATAATAGTGGGTTCTTTTATAGCGCTCATGTCAGCAGATTTGCCCCTCCTGGCGCTCCCGATTATTACCCTGGCTTTAGCACGGCTGCCATACGGCGCGCTAGCATTTCAAGGAATAAATTCCTACCAGTACTATCATATATGTTATTGAATACTTTGTAAAAAATGACTTTGCTGATTTACACAAATGAAACCCATGATATGAAAGCAAAAGGTCAGAGGAAGCATGTGACTCTCAGTGTTAACACTTTATCTTTATCTCTTAACCCAACTTTAAGGTCATCCTCGTATGTAAATATGCAAGAAAGCATGTGGACTTTGTATTATTTTGATACTGACTAGTTTATAGCACAACACACTTTTCTCATGTTATGATTTGATGAAGAATTTTAATTCTTTGTATGATATATTATTTCATTACAAGTTTGAAACAAATAGGATGAGAGTGGGCATGTGACTCTTGGTCAAACAATAATGAAACAGAAAAAAAAGAGATGGAAAAACAGTTTGATGATGCATTTACATGTCAACAACATTCATGTGACTATGATGTGAGAATACATTGATGTATTGCCAGAATAGGCAACTTCCTCCAATGAGATTAATCCTTGTTAAAACTAACTGTATCTTGACGGGGGGGGGGGGGGGGGGGGGGGGGGGGGGGGGTAGGTAATTGTCATCCATTATGGTACATGTAAGTGTCAAAGTGGGGTGGGGGTATTGACCTAGATGCTGAATGTATTTTATCTGCTCTGCTCAGGATAAAATAGTATTTATTTGAAGGAGAATGCAAGGAAAGCTCAGACTATACATTTTTACGTAACATGTAGATCAGTGTTTTGAAGCTTTTTACCGGTAGTCATGGCATCCTTTAAGAAATTAAGAAAATAATGACACTTTTAATATGATAAAAATTTATACCTTATAATCAACACACTAGATGAAATATAGAATTAAGTGTGCGGGTACCTCACTGCCGAATACATATACAAATCATGATGTGCACTTCAGGCCCCCCCCCCCCCCCCCCCAACGAAATTGTTTGGTTGTCCTCCACACAGCTAAGAGACAAGGTGCAGGCTGGCAGATTTTTTATTTTGTTTATATTTAAAAAAAACAAAAAATCATTGGGGTTTCAAACATTAAATCATACAAGGTCAATTAAACACACAAATATGGTATATGAATAGTGTAATATCATCTTTTTGATCCTTGCAATGTATAAAACGGTATGTTGGCCTTTAAAATTACTCCCCCCCCCCCCCCCCCCAAAAAAAAAAAAATTGTTGTTGTTGTTGTTGTTGATACAAGCGGCTCAAGAGTGACGAGCGGGTGGTCAAGGATAACCAAACAATTTTTGGGGGCCTCAAATTGATCCACGAAAATGAGGAAATTTGCAATTTTGTTGCCCAGAACTATCCTGTTTCTAAATGTTGCGAGAAAGTGAAGCAAAGGAGTGTGGTAAAAATGTAATTTAGATATATTTTAGGCATCTCATTGTTCAAATATAGAGGTATTTAGGCACTTTGCTGCCAGAAATCATCATGTTTCTAAAGGTTGCGAGGTAGAAAGGGAGTTTTTATTACCTTTAAAATGTTATTTCCTCATTATCTAAGATAATTTGGTTCTGACATTATACCAAAATAACAATTTAAAAAAAAAATAATAACACTAAAGCTCTCTCTCTCTCTCTCTCTCTCGCGGCATGCCTAGGGACGTCTTGCGGCATCCGGTTGAAAAATGCTGATATAGATTACAAATATTGAAGAAAATTGAGTTCAAACTGCAGATCTGTTGAAAAGGAAATAGATTATGGTGATAACGAAGAGCAAAAGAATACAGTTTGTGTATTCTACTACTATCTATAGGTCAAATCTCCTTGCCATTATGAATGGAAAAAGATTGAAACTCATTGTTTCATTGGTGTTCTAATGATCAGAACTAATAAGCAAACTTATGAGTAAACACTAATAATACTAGACATTTTATTTGTAATGTTCTCCATTAATAATTTGTTTACACAGCAAACTGTCCTAGCACACAACAGCACCGGTTTTCAAGAATGGGCTAACCCTCCCGCCCCTATTTATCTAGAATTCTATGTATGGAATCTAGAGAATCCTGAGGGAGTTGTCAAAGGTGATAAACCTAATGTCACAGAGAGAGGTCCTTACGTTTACAGGTAGGATATTTTTTTACATTATTGATATAAATTTGACAATTTCGACCAATTTATGAAATTTTACAGTTACATAAAAATGTTTGTTGATAAGACAGATGTAGAGAGAAAAAAGTATTAACCTATCCAACCAAAATGATTATCAAAAGTATGTTCTAATTTTTGAATGAGAAGATTTACATTGTACATGTTTTTATGTCGCATGTGACAGTTTTTGGACTTCAAATAAAGTTCATGGGACTTACAGAATGTAGCTAACAATTTTCTGTAAATAATTGGTCTGTCTTAACTCTGGTATGCTTGCTGCTCTTTTGGGATGATTAATCTCTGACATGAATGATGTAATAATCTCCATTTTTTCATTTCCATGGCTGTTTCAGGGAAGAACGTCCCAAGGTGAATGTGACAGAACATGAGAATGGTACGGTCTCTTACACATCCCCTCAATCATTCTACTTAGATCTGGACCTATCAGTGGGAGATCCAATGGTTGATACATTTACTACTCTCAATCTTCCTCTTTTGGTAAGTGAATTAACCACTCTGTCTAAAACTCCTTGGTAAAAAAAACACATCCAGCTGAGTGGTCTGGGGTTTAAGCATAAAACGGCTAAACATTTGAATTTGGATTGTACAGATATTCATCATTATTATTCAAAATATGGCTCAGATTGCACCAGAGTGCATCTTAGAAGCTAAGCACCTTAAGCAAGCCCTGGAGCCTGGCCACAGCATCTAAGAAGCTTAGCGCCCTTAAGCAAGCCCTGGAGCCTGGCCACAGCATCTTAGAAGCTAAGCACCCTTAAGCAAGCCCTGGAGCCTGGCCACAGCATCTAAGAAGCTTAGCGCCCTTAAGCAAGCCCTGGAGCCTGGCCACATCATCTAAGAAGCTTAGCGCCCTTAGCAAGCCCTGGAGCCTGGCCACATCATCTAAGAAGCTTAGCGCCCTTAAGCAAGCCCTGAAGCCTGGCCACATCATCTTAGAAGCTAAGCACCCTTAAGCAAGCCCTGGAGCCTGGCCACAGCATCTAAGAAGCTTAGCGCCCTTAAGCTAGCCCCGAAGCCTGGCCACATCATCTAAGAAGCTAAGCACCCTTAAGCAAGCCCTGGAGCCTGGCCACAGCATCTAAGAAGCTTAGCGCCCTTAAGCAAGCCCTGGAGCCTGGCCACAGCATCTAAGAAGCTTAGCGCCCTTAAGCTAGCCCCGAAGCCTGGCCACATCATCTAAGAAGCTAAGCACCCTTAAGCAAGCCTGAAGCCTGGCCACAGCATCTAAGAAGCTTAGCGCCTTAAGCAAGCCCTGGAGCCTGGCCACAGCATCTAAGAAGCTTAGCGCCCTTAGCAAGCCCTGGAGCCTGGCCACAGCATCTAAGAAGCTTAGCGCCCTTAAGCAAGCCCTGGAGCCTGGCCACAGCATCTAAGAAGCTTAGCGCCCTTAAGCAAGCCCTGGAGCCTGGCCACAGCATCTTAGAAGCTTAGCGCCCTTAAGCAAGCCCTGGAGCCTGGCCACAGCATCTAAGAAGCTTAGCGCCCTTAAGCAAGCCCTGGAGCCTGGCCACAGCATCTAAGAAGCTTAGCGCCCTTAAGCAAGCCCTGGAGCCTGGCCACAAAGAACTGCCTGCTTTTAATACATCCGTTTATACTCCTTCCCGTTACAGTTTTACATGTTTGAATTTTTATATGTGGCCCTTGTTCCAGAAAACTCAGCACGGAAGTCAGTGATTCTGGTGAATTTGACATACATGTATCTCTCCATTGTTGACATATCTGAATGGAAGTTTAGGTCATTTCGAGTTTAATCTTGGCAGCAGTGAAAAAAATACACGGGGCTTAGGGCGAATTTGCCCCGAAATGCCCAACAAATTTTAGAGTGTTATTTTTATGCAAAAGTAGCCCTTGAAAGATAAATATTATTTTTTCCCTGCTTGGCAGTACATGAATTTACCCACTCCATTGCCCTAAAGTGTTGTTATAATTTTATTTAATAAGATTATCATTTCCTACATTTATCCCATTTACGTTAATGGCACATATTTTTGTGCCACTACATTTTGCTGAGCTAAATAAGTAAGCCAATAAATGATATGTTTACAATAATCAATGTTGATCTCTTGGTAAATTATAAAAGTAACAATACTGTTCTTGGTAAGTGATCCAATGAGTGATACATTCACATTAGACATTGTTATTATTGGGAGATCCCAGTTGACTGACTAAGATGGATGGCAAACAATCCTGATAGTCCATGAATCCAGCAGTGTCGAGTTCTTGGACCCTCAGATAATCATAACTTATTTGAAAGGCCCGCAAGACCAACATAATCAGCATTGGGATTTGCTAGTCTTGTGGGCCAGCAGTCTTGTAGGCTTTAGCTGTAATTGTTTCACTTGCTTACTTATCATCTCATACTCACTTTTCGTAAGCTAGACATTTCTACATGCAGTGTTACATATTAATATTTCCTCCTTTGATTTTCATTGACATTAAATATTGTCTTTCTTTTTCAGACTGTAGTCAATCAGCTTCAATTCATGTCAGATGCTATGAGAATTGCCGTCCGTGCATTGATTCTCAATGACCATAAGGTGTGTGTCACACATACCGTCCATGAATACATCTGGGGATACAAAGATGCGATGCTTACTAGAATCAAAGACTTAGAACCTGATTTGGTGTCTACGGACATCTTTGGATTTTTTGCTGGGGTAAGTGGACTGTCATTTGTTACATGCTAGATCCTTGGCAGGAATTAGTTTCTCCCAAATGTTCCAAATGGTCTTCCTGCATAGTGGAGGGAGGGGGGGGGGGGGGGAGGGGGGGAGGGGGGATGAAAGGAATTTTGCAGGTGTAGGGCCAATTGATATAATAATAATACTGTGTCCTTTTATATAGCGCAGCTACTATATGAATATACTCTTCTGCTCTTAATACAAAGTATCATATTATAACCCGGCTAGAGCAGAGCGAGCATGATAAGGTGCTAAAGCATTCAAGGAATTTCTTCCTACCGGGTACCCATTAACTTCACCTGGGTGTAGAGTGGCAAACGGATTAATGTCTTGCCAAAGGACATTAGTGCGGCAGCGGGACTCGAACCATGTACCATGTGACCCAAAGTCCAGGCCTCCAGGGACATATCCACTAGACCAATACACCTCTACATTTTGTGTCTGTTCTCAGAGCATTCAAAGAAGTGCTCCCAAGCAGGTACCTGCTTTTGTCTCAATGGCTAGCTCTCTAGAAAGGTCACCTGTCTGTAGTGGTCAACTTCATTATGCCCCTCAAGGAAGAGAACAGGTGTTAAAGGACCTCTCTAAATAGGCCACCTGTCAACACTGGTCACCTTTCCCGTTTCCCTTTGATGCTCTTAAAGGGATTGGGTATCTTTGTCTCAGATTCTGAAACAAAATCCTGGATTTAGCTCATGCTGCAATCTTAATCATAAACCTTTAGGTCAGTCAGGAACCCAATGACTTTTACAAGCCGATCGCTGTCTGATTGTCAAGATATTTATGATTGAATTCGAAATTTCAAAAACTGCTTTCCTAACGGTTTTTATAACACTACAGTCGATTGGGGGAAATGAGTTTGGTAAAACTGGTCACTCAAAGATTTTTACTTTTTTGAGGCACTTCTTGATCATTTTGAAGCGCATTCTTTTAGGGCTTCGATATTACACCATGTCACAGACATGATAACACGTAGGGCCATGCATCTCAGATTTAACATTGTTAAATGATGCCTTTAATTGATGAGTTATAGTCTGGTGGCTAAGTCGCCAGAATGTGAATTAACTGTTTCAAATCCCTGCTATGGCACCAATGCTCCTTGACAAGATTTCAAACTGGGGTAATGTACTCAAGCATCTCATAAACCGGAGTGTTGGCTCAGTCAGTAGAGCGTCCGCCTCACAACCGGGAGGTCGTGGGTTCGAACCCCGGCCGCGTCATAACAAAAAGACGTTAAAAGATGGGAGTTGTTGCTACCTTGTTTGGCGTTCAACAATAAATAAAGGATGTCGATCTGGCGCTGCTCAGTGGCTGCCGGGCTCACGATCAATTGGGCAAATAAATTTCCGTTTCGGTTTAATAACATTAGGAGTGGACCATTAAAGATTATATATTATTATTATTATTATTATTAGTCCGGTGGCTAAGTCGCCAGAATGTGAATTAACTGGTTCAAATTCCTGCTATGGCACCAATGCCCCATGACAAGATATTTAACCGGGGGTTATGTTACTCCAGCATCTCAGAATAAATAGCAGCATTAAAATGTCATACAAATATTTACCATTGTATCTTGATACAGAAAAACAACAGTAATGATGGAGTGTATACAGTCTATACAGGAGAAACTGATTCTAAATTAACCAACACCATAGACAATTGGCAGGGTATGGAGACGCTGCCTTACTGGACGACACCCCAAGCTAATATGATTAATGGGACAGGTAGAGTATGCTTTCTGGAATATATACCTATGTGCCTGCAGGTTGTAATGGTCAATTTAGTTATGCAGAGTAGAGATATTTCAGTGGTTAGTTCAGTTGATAGGAGACAAAACAACAATTAACGTTGTATAATATATTTCATCTAGACATTTTTAATGCTGTAAAGTGCTGTGAAACCAGTTTTGTATGAGTAAGAACCGACGCTACAAGAATGAAGTTGATGTTTGTTATTCTAACATGCTAGCCCATGACCTTGGGTTAATGATTATAATTATTTAATAAAGATACACACTGTATCATATAGATATATAGAATGTTTGATAGATATAGATCAATTGTCTAGAAATATTCAAATGAAACTAAAGCAGCTCTGAATTATGTTTAGTCAGAGAATAGTTTGTTAGTATAATTTGTGTACATGAATGTAATCTTTCAATGTACTTGTATAGCCTACTATTAAGTTTGTTTGTACAACTAATTTTTACAGCACCTTGCGTTATCGTTATCAGCAAGTGCGTTTTAGAAATCTATGTTATTATTATATTTAATATAAATTTATTACTTTTTCAGGCTGAAATCATGGACATATGTCTCCATGTTTTTGATTTCTAATTGACATTACCTCTTGATTTCATTTTAGATGGCACATACAACCATCCATTCATCACCAAGAATGACACAATCTATGTCTTTTCTTCTGATATATGCAGGTAAGTGTTCTTATCCTTAACTTAAAGCAAAATCATGGGCTTCTTTTGATAAATGACAGACATGTATACAATTTCACCCTCCTTAAAGATAAAGACCAGTTATGGTCATGCGATTGCATTGTGAAAGAAACGTTGTGGAATCGATCAGAAAAGGTTGATCATCTAGCATATGTATTGGTCTGTACTGCATGGTTCTGGAATCATCAAAATGATAAGAAATTTGGCCCAGTCTTCGTAAAGTTACAAGCATTGTACACAGAAAGATGTATATGGGACTATGCACATGTGCGCGACACATGCGTTTATCTCTCACACACCAATAGATAAACTAATTTACCAAATATATCAATTAGTAGGCGGTTTCAAGGCAAAATTTGTATCATCATGTATTAGTCAAAACATATTCTTTCACATGATTGGTAATAAGAGCTTCCATTTCATATTTTGAAATTGGGGCGTTTCCAATACTGGTCTTTACCTTTAAAATATTTTATATTTGTGGTGACTCATTTAAAGTGTACCAATCACCCAAACATGTTTTGCTCTTGATGTTATGCATTTCATGTGGCTATACTGGAGCAATTTGAATACATTCAATAAATTCAATAAACAGTACAACATCTTTAATATAGAGTAGACTGTCTAGTTAATGTATTGTTACGCATTACATGCAATAGGACTTGGGTTCTGTGCGAGCCCTATATGCGGGCTTTTAGGTATCCTTTATCAGAGTTGCCAAACAGTACGATTTAATTATATTTTGTATGATTTTTAGAAGTAAATACAACAGTACAATTTTCCTCAATAAAATACTATTTTCAACAACAAAAAAGATTTTCTGAAATTATGAATGTGCTTGTGTATTTTCTTCTAAATGTCGACAAACACAGTCTTACAAAAAAAAGAACTTAACGATAAAAAAATAAGATTTTTATTTTGAAAATAAGATTTTTGGGAGAAAAGAATAAGATTTTCGTTCATTTGGGGTTGGCAGCTATGCTTTATGTTCTTCAATAACTGTTGATCTACAGAATGCAAGGTAGAGTTTTAGTAAGGTTGATTTAATACACTCTACCTATACACAAATTATGTCTTCAGGTGATTGGTACAGTTTAAGAATATCTTAGCTCTGACATGTTCATAGTAAAAAACAAGGTCTGTAAAAAGTGTTGATATTGACTTATTCAAGACATCAGAAATCATCGGCTGCCGCTAGGCCAAAAGAGCTATGTGTTCTCTACTGCAGTTGTGGCTTTCTTGCAAGCAGCAAATGATATATGTCCCAGCTCCATGTACATGGTATTGTTAACAAAATACAACTCGGTTTGATTAGAAAGTAAGTAGTACTGCAATCCATATCATATTGTAGCCATAGTCAGAGATCCAACTTATCGTTTGAACTTGTCTGCTCTTTTTAGATCAATCTACGCCGTCTTCGAGGAAGAAACGAATACCAGGGGTGTACCTACTCTTCGGTTTTCACCGCCCTCATACTTGTTTGCTAACTACACCATCTACCCCCTAATATTGGTTTCTGCACCCCTGACAAGGCCCACTGCTACCCAGGAGGGTTACTTAATATAAGCCAGTGTCAGTTTGGTAAGTAATATGAGAAGTATGTCAAAATATCATGTATCATAAAATGTTCTAATAGCCATCTCTGTGGACAGACTACTGGATGGAATAGTACTCAAATTTGATTTGAAAGAATATTTCAAAACTTATTTTCAAGCAACCGCTGATTCTGATCTATTTGGGGGCCTGTCTTTTAAATAGTTCCGATTAATCTTAACTTATTGCGATTAATTAGTTTACTGCTATTTTTCTTTCAAGCACTCTGCATTTCACGTTTGTTAATGAAAACACATATAAATGAGTACATGTAAGGACCTCATTGTGAACAGCTACTTCTGTCATCCCCTTCAGTTGACACAGAAATTGTTGTGGTTTACCACAGGAAAGGGAACAAGCCTTATAGTTCACCAATCGCCTGAAAAAATATAATTCTTGTATAGGTAGATTATATGAAATCAACCTAAAAAAAACAATAGCCCTACATTCTATATGTAAACAGTTATAAAGGAGTAAGGAGAAAATAAAGGAAAACATGGATCCCAGGTCAGACTTGGGTTACGTTCACATCTTATTCTATGGGAACGCCTATGCTTGCATTATTAGTCTACTCGAGAAGATGTTTTACAGATCACTGGGAGTGTCTTTAAACTACTATATCTCATCGTAGAAGAAATATTTGAAACTCTCAATTTGACTACAGTATAGGAACATGGAATCCCTTACATCAAATCAAGAGTAAAACATGTTTTGGTGATTGGTACATGTTCTCTTCATTTCTCACGAACAGGTGCCCCAATCTTCATGTCATCTCCTAACTTCCTCTACGCTGACCAGTCTGTTATGGACATGGTCATTGGCGTCCATCCAGATAAAGAGCTTCATGAGACATACTTTGATCTAGAACCTGTGAGTATATTGTCATGTTTGGCTTTAGATGAGTGGTGCCATTGTGTGATGGACACCCTAGTTGGGTGGTACCATGGTGTGATACACATCATAGATGGGTAGTGACATGGTATGGTAGTCACCGTAGATGGATGGTACTGTGGTGTGATAGACACTGTAGATGGGTGGTACCGTGGTGTGATAGACACTGTAGATGGGTGGTACCGTGGTGTGATAGACACTGTAGATGGGTGTAACCGTGGTGTGATACACATCGTAGATGGGTAGTGACATGGTATGGTAGTCACCGTAGATGGATGGTACTGTGGTGTGATAGACACTGTAGATGGGTGGTACCGTGGTGTGATACACATCGTAGATGGGTAGTGACATGGTATGGTAGTCACCGTAGATGGATGGTACTGTGGTGTGATAGATACTGTAGATGGGTGGTACTGTGATGTGATACACATCGTAGATGGGTAGTGACATGGTATGGTAGTCAACGTAGATGGGTGGTACCATGGTGTGATACATATCGTAGATGGAAGTGCTATGGTGTGAAAGACACGGTAGGTGGGTGGTACCGTGGTGTGATAGACACTGTAGATAGATGGTACCGTGGTATGATCGACAATGTAGATGGATGGTACCGTGGTGTGATAGACAATGTAGATGGGTGGTACCGTGGTGTGATAGACACCATGGATGGGTGGTTCCAGAAATATTATGAAGCCATGTGGATCAAAAGAACATCGAACTACATGAGCAGAGACAGGGTTGTTTACCAGTTTTCTGACATTTATGACACGGCTGTCGCCAAAATGGCATTCTTTGGTGATTTGAAAACAGGCAGCTAGCTTCAGTCTGAGGAAGGTGTCTGATGTATGAATGCTGAAACTGTCAGTAGAGGCAAACAACCTGATAATTCTTTGTCTTTTTGTCTTGTATTCCAATTCTATAGTACACTGGAGGTCCTTTGAATGTCTCTAAGAAGCTACAGATTAATGCCCATCTAAGGAGCTATGATTTCTTCTGGGAAGAGTGAGTATAAATTATCAAATGATAAAAAAATGTACATCTATATAATAATAATAATTATAATCTTTTAAAGTCCTCTCCAAATTTTATTAAGTTAAACCAAAATAGAAATTCTTTTTGCCCAATTGATCGTGAGCCCGGCAGCCACTGAGCAGCGCCAGATCGACGTTGCTCTGTCCCTTATTGTTGAACGCCAAGCAAGGTAGCAGCAACTCTCGTCTTTTAACATCTTTTGGTATGACGCGGCCGGGTTTGAACCCACGACCTCCCGTATGCTTGGCACAAGGATGAGAATGTATTCTCAGACAGCATACATGTATGTACATTTAAAAAAAAATAATAGATTTCCAAAGTAAATCACTGCTGGTAACAAAATGTAATCATAACCCATGTTCAAGAAAAAAAAAAGGATAAGCGATTAAATGACGTGATTATTATTTGATTTTGTAAAATAAAATCATCAAGCCCCTTTAACTTGTGAATTCTAATTTTGTCTTTCCTCTTTCTTTTTTCGTCTTCAGTTGGTACAAGAATGTAGCAGAAGCATACGTTCCTTTGATCTGGATTAATGAAGTAAGTAGCAAGAAAATTATATATGGAATTGGACACATCATAATTCCCAAATCACAGATCTTTTACATGTGTTAATATTTTGATTTTGACTTTGATCTGGATTAATGAAGTAAGTAGCAAGAAAATTATATATGGAATTGGACACATCGTAATTCCCAAATCACAGATCTTTTACATGTGTTAATATTTTGGCATTATAGTTAATTTATTGTAAAGAGCAAAATGAATGAACTCTTCATATATTAGTACATTACCTCAATGTCTCACTATTTTTATTTGTCTCATTTTCTGGAGACTGCCAAAATGTATGAACATCTTCAAGAAACTTTTTATTAAAGGGATTGTGTATCTTTGCCTCAGATTCTAAACATATACCTATTATTCAATTCCAATTTCTGCTATTTACTTTCTTTTTGCTTCACTTATACAAACATGCCAGTGACACCTGAGATAACATATATTGCAATTTATCGAGCTTAAGTTTATGCATTGTCATCAATAAGTTGTTGTTTTTCTCTTATTTTAAAGTCTGATTATGTATAATATTTTAGGCATCCCCTGATGCACTTCATGGAGTCAGAAGAAAAGACTTACGGGTTATAGGAATTTTACATTTCTTTTTTTCTTCCAGGCAACTTCGAGAGGTGCAGCAGGGGAAGCCAATTTTATTCTTTCATACTTTGTATCCTATGTGCCATTCTATTGTACCTTCTATTGTATCGAAATGCCAAATAAATAATAATAATAAAAATAATAATTATGAAGTCCTTTTGGTTTTTGTTGTAATTTTCGAGTTCATGCAATCAGAGGAGTGACTCCTGTGGATTTTTTCTTCTTCATTCCAACAGCATGGATCACTGACTCAAGAGTCCGCTGATGAGCTGATGAAGCAACTCTACCTACCGTTGAAGATAGGAACCTACGGGACATGGACTGTGTTAGGGTTTGGATGTCTCCTGGTCTTGCTCTCTCTAACCTGTATCTCAGTCATGCTCTGTAGGTCAAAAGGATCATCAAGTCCTCTGGACTACCCTGTCAATGTAAGTCTTTACCATTTCAATTCAGTTTTTTTTTTTTTTTTTGTATTGTACTTTTTTGGTTTTGTAAAGTGTAACTTATAACGCTGATGGAGAACAACTTTCTACCCTATGTAATAAATAAATTATCGTTAACCCATTGTTATCAACAAAATAAATAAATTATAATACACCAGAATAAATACATTATCAGTTGTCCATTGTTATCAACACAGACTCTTTTGAATGTTTCAAATGGTGTATGACGTCTTTGAATTTGAAAATGGGCAGTTTTTTCTTGAAATTTATTTAGCAGTTGAACACTTTCAGTAAACTTATATACAAGTGTATATGATTCATATTCACATGAAAATATGAATACATAGACTTGGACTGGTTTGTCTTTCATGGAGAATCATAAGGTAGGACGAGTGTCAGAAAAGGTTGATTTGTAGAACTGTTAAATGGTCAAAAAGCTTACACAAATGTATCTACCTGGTATTAACAAGTTGCATTTAAAATTTGAAGAAAGAAAACTCAAGCAATAGGTTGATTTATGCACCAACAATCTGTAAGTGGCACCATTCTTGTCCCGATTTCAAAAGATTTACAATTTTAAGAACAATAGTCTGGAAAAGGGATTTCTAGAGATAGGCTTTAAATATTAAGAAGATAAAAGGCTAATGAATGAGTAAACAAATATGTCACAAGTTTGTGAATGCCAGTGAAATTTTTGATGAATTTCCAGGAGTTAATAACATTCAGTTTAATTTATTTCATATTTGTTTTCATTAAAAATACAATGCATGGTGATGATCCACCACTTATCAGCGTACTGAGAAATACTGTATATGGAAACAGAACAAGTTACGTGTGTAAGACAACTTATATGGCCTTAAACTGAAAAGCCTTTGTGTATTATTTTTCACATGTGTGTCAGTACATATCTTTTTTTAATGTAAACATAATCTTTTTGTAACCTTGTAATCTTTTTCTTGCCCTGAAATCATAGCAGTCTCGTGAGGATGCCCCATTGATCAATGGTGATACTACAAGGGATGAAGCAAACCAACCAATCTGAGAGAAATAGCCCAAGACGACGTTGATCAAGGTACAGGTTTCACACAGCTTCAGACAGCTTAGTCAAACGGAGTGACGCGTAAAGACATACCCTAAATGGCACATGTGGTGGTATAAAAGATTGAAGTATCAAATAGTGGAATGTTGTATTTGATTGATGTTTTGGGGGATTAAATGACATGTATTTAGCCTGACGGAGGTAGTAGGGATATATATACTAAATATAACTTGAGATCAACATAATCAATGTGCCTTCTATGCAATAAAATTCTGATTTTCAACAAAAGGGGCTTTCATTTTTCCCAGTGATATCTGTACACAGCACTCCATTTTGCCAATGCACAGAACAGTGTAACTCTGAAAGTATACAAGAATGTATGCATTCCACTCATGTGAGGAAGATTTGTATTTTTTTTTATGTTGCTGGGGAGCTGTGTCATTTCATCTTGGGGACATTGACATGAAGATTTGTTAAAGAATTTAATTATGTTTAAGCCATTGCCTACTGGAACTGGTGACCCATGTATAAAGCCTATGGCAATGAATGAACTCAGTAGTCAATGGGCTAATCTATTTTGAGAATGTCATTTATTAGTATGCATGTGTGGTGAAGTTATTTTATGAAGACATTCCTGAACCACCGATGATAAGTTTTCATGCAATAGACTGAAATTAAATCTTCATCTGGTCCAATGATGGTATGTGCAACCATGTATTAAATCTTTTTAAAAAAAATTTAAATATTTTTTTTATAAATGTAATGCTTCCTGGGAGAAATTTCAGTAGTTTGAACATATATTTTTCAATTACAGATCGATCAATTGATCTTATTTACTGGGTGTAAGCCACAAATATGTTCAAACTATGTATTAAATCATCGCCTGACTCGCAGAAGTGCGTTAGCGACTCAAAAACTACTTTTCAAATTATTCACATTTAAAGATTTGTTTTAAATTTAAACTGCTTTCCGTCCCGAAAATTGGTTAAAACTTAGAAGACAAATAGAAATGTTATAGTACTGAAATAAGTCAGTTTTATAAAAGTTTGAGGTGATTTAGTGCTAATGCCCTTCTGCTTAGCGCTTTATTTTTGACCTGAAGTTGGAGCTAACGCCCTTCTGCCAGCCAGGTGACGAAATGTCCTCCTGTTTCCTGGGTGGTGTTTGTAAGGTGTTTCCTGTTCTTAGGTTTGTTTACGCTCAAACAGTGAACCATAGATTTGTTTCATTTTGTTTTTGCCATTGACATGTCTTGTACTGCCCGAGACAGATTTCTATTTGTATGATATAGAGCAGAGGGAAATCAATGTGATAAAGGTGGCAAAACTATTGTGAATTGTTAAAACGGGGAATTAATAAAGTGAATGTCATTGATGACGGAATTGATGTATTTTGGTTACATGGTAATAATCTGAATACTCTCTGCTGTGACTAATTGAATTTTACATAGCAAATCACTGAAATACTGCTATTAAAGAAGTGAAGTGTTTTTTGTTTTTTTTAAGTACTGCTTTTCCTTGCAAGATGAGCATTTATAATGTGTTTTGCTAAATCATGATGTCAGCCGATCAAAGTTGCAATTTATCTAATCCTGTCCTCAAAAAGTGAAAATATGTTTCAGTTCAGTATTACATAGCAATACAATAAAAATTACAGGGCAGAAAATTGTACAGCAGAAAACATGTACATGTCTATATATTTACAAATAATAGCATTGATGCATTTTGGCTATGTTAATGATAACGATTTACAGGTTCTTCAATTAAATTTAGGATGTAAACTGCCAACCACATGTACATGTTGATTTACTCTGTCATTGGTTGAGAATTAATGTCACCCCTTTGGTGCAGAGGTGTTTTATTAAAGTTAATTGACACAATATTTGCTATGGCTGAATTTTATCTGAATTCATGAAATTCCTAGAAATAGGCATTGTTTGGAATACTGCCCACTCTGTACATTGAGATTACATGTAGAAATCATTCCTAAAAAATATAATAAATAACAAGGTATATAAAGACTACTGCCATGAGCTTTCCTATGTGATTAGCTTGTAAATATTCATAAATGAATGATACATGCCAATGAAAACTAAAACAACAACCTATTATTGATCAAGACTTTAGTTAAGCCTCAGACTGAAGCCTCTTGAACTGCCCAAGTTTGATCAAATGCAGCACAAGCCAGTCTAAAAAATAATGATAAGGAACAATTTCATAACATACTTGTACACAATTATGGGAAATAGCATTTTCAAATTATAGTGCGAAATTTGAATTGAAAGGTTAAATCTTAATTGTTGCTGGTTCATGTGTAGACAATCACTATTAAAACTATACACAAGCTTGTCACTGTATTGATGATAATCATGAAGGCTTTTTTAAAGTTGACGAGTAGTATATATGAATTAATTCTTTTGTGTCTTGTGGACAATGAACACTGTAGTCTTTAGAGCATTTCTCATTGCTTGTATGCTGATAATTTTGCTTGTTGTAGAGGAATGTTAAAGCTACATTCACATTGTGCATGTGGTGTTCAACTTAATATTAGCCTTTGAAAAATCATTTGGTTTAGGCTATTAAAATGGCAACCAAAAGTATGTAAAAATTAACATTTTCTTGTGCCTACAAGTGAATCAGTACTAAAAACAAAGAAAGAGAGAAAGAAATTGGTGAGCTCTTTATAAAAGCATATGTTGTACAATTATGCATTATGTTCAAGTGACTCTGTCTTTTTCCTTCATCTAAATTCATGTTCTTAAGAATGTCACGGGTTTTTTGTCAGTATTGAATACCAAAGATACTTACCGGTAAATTGCCATTTTGATAGTCTAAACGTGACAATAACTCCCACGAGTTGCTGTTAATTATGTGTACTTGTGCGCGCTTGATTGTATTGTAGAAAGTAAGATATAATGAAACTTAATGCTGAGTGAACAAGTATCTTTGACAAAGAATATTAGAAATCTGTTTTATGTCAATATCTTTCACTCAATTTCCATGATTATTTTTCTTATTGTTATCCATTGTTATCCATTGTTATCTGTATTTTCCTATTGTTGTAAATGTAATTTTGTTTAATGTTTGTTATGTACATATTTCGTTAGCTGCCTTGAGCATTCCTCGGGATGGATATGAGCGCATAAGATATGTTGCAATTGCTATATTATTAAGAATTTGTAACATTTAAAAAATTTTTTAAAATTCTAGCATTTGTTTAAATACATGTAGCACAGAATTGTTTGACTTTAACAGGGTAGGAAGAATAATGATGCGAAATAACAGATTTATGGAATGCCATGTGTCAAGCTTTTTTTACATACCAAGGGGGTGTTCTTAAGTTGAACTTATCTCTGAGGTGGTCTTAAAAATTATGGAAAGCCATCAGCATCTTTGAAAAGGCATAAAATATTGATTTATCATTCATATTTTCTATTATCATTGAGATTTCATGTTTTTGATGTGGAATTTATGAAAAGTCTGAAATACTTTAATTTTTGCTTTTGAATATATTTCATTTTAAGGCTACAAATGGCTCTCCATAATATTGAAGTTCGACTTAGGATCTTTTTAGAACAGCCCTAGGCCAAGTACTATTATTCTGAATCAGAATTAATCATTATAATGGATACAGTCATGAAATGACTTTGCATTCCATAAATCAGTTGCCTAAACCACAGCTTATGAATACTGGCCTATATAGCTTATATTTTGCCCTATGTAATATGCGATCGTTCAATACAAAAAATGCATGATTATCAGTAATTTCTCTTTTTATATTTTAAACAAAACTACATGAATATAATTATGTACAAAATATTGTTTTCAGATATATCTTGCCAATGTTAATATCCAATGAAATAGGAACATACTTTAAAATCAAATGCAGTTTATAATCACGAAAAATGCTCTGATCTGCGTTCTAAATGATCATGTTCTTCCTTTGGAAATGTAGAAAATTTGGAGACGGTACATGAACGTGTGAAATAACCTCGGATATTGGTGTGTAATATGATTATTGAGGCCAATTAGAAATGTGATATCATGATCAGGTTAATTATCTCTCCATCATGCAAACAAGGTGCTCCGATATTTGCTCCAATGATATTTGATCCAGGCATTATTTTTACAAAGATGTAGGTGTAAATGAGGAGGATGCTCGAAACATGAAGAAGCGGAGGGATGAAGCTGGAGGGGGTATTATCATGGTGTGAGATTCAGAAAACCCTTGCTGTAAGAGGGAAAACGCTGACTTTAATAAATGATGATGGGTTAGAATAAGGGATACAATTGTGTTTTAGGTTTGTTTTGGTTTAGGATATAATATAATAATGATTATAATATTCCACTTTTATATAGTGCTTGATGTCTCTAAGCGCTTTACAGATATTGTTTGAGACTTGTGGAATAGCATTATCGCCAAAGTTGATAGATGTAGTGGCACCTAGAGGAGGGGATCGGGATGTTTTGATGAAGGGTTGAAGTTAGGATATTGGTTGGTGTCGGTCGCTTTACAGATATTGTTTGAGACTTGTGGAATAGCATAATCGCCAAAGTCGATAGATGTAGTCCTAGAGGAGGGGATCGTGTTTGATGAAGGGTTGAAGTTAGGATATTGGTTGGTGTCGGTCACTTTACAGATATTGTTTGAGACTTGTGGAATAGCTGTAGTCCTAGAGGAGGGGATCGTGTTTGATGAAGGGTTGAAGTTAGGATATTGGTTGGTGTCGGTAATAGACCTTGGAGCTATTGTCATCAGAGCATGTGTCATACAATCATAAATATATCTTTATTAGAAGATGGCATTAACTTTAATGATTTATGGTACTGGTAGTGAAATACGTTCAAATTAAACTTGGTGAATACATTTTTTTTTTTTTTGTCGTCTATCACTGCAAAGAGCTTTGTGCAAATTAACAATACATTTCATGTGTGTAAAAATTTGCTGTTTTTTTTATAGCTAATATAAATTATAGCTATTTTAGAACTTATGGTCATTTAAAACTACTTTCTTTGTCCATTACTTGGCCATTATACAGTTTAACATTTTTTTTCATTAGCCGAGATCCAGGGACCAGTTACTCAAAACCATCACGAGTCTAAGTTTGTGGACATCTCATAAAAACACATGTTAATTCTCTTTCAATTGGATGTTCAAGAAGTAAGCCCGTCTTGTGAAACGGCCCCCAGATTACCTGACTTAAGCTATGGTCAAAAATCAGAGCAGCGACCGACCGATCAGTAGCCTGCTCGGTCGCTGCTGGAATTTGGGCATCGCCCAGCGATTAGGTCGGTGCCCGGGCGGCGACCGCCCAGGCACCGAGTGAAAAGTGAGCAGGCGCCGACCAAATTTTAACTCCGCGCTAAAACTTCAGCGGCGACCGAGCGATGCCCTTAAAAACGAGCGGTGCCTGGGCGGCCGCCGCTCGCTGGCCGGGCAGCCGCTGGGCAGAATTGGTTAAAAACTCGCCGCTCGGCCGCCGAGCAGGCTTCTTTTGGGTAATGTGACCATAGCATAACACCGACAGGTAATAAAGTCAGTATATGATATACGGTAGGTTTGGGTTGATCATTTGCCTGGCTTTTGTAAGAAAGTAGCTATATTAGATAACTACCAAACTTTTTTAATCATAAATTGTACTTGGAAAGAATTCTGTTTAATATGATGAATAGATTCATGTGTTTTATTTTTTTTAACAATTATGAATTGATACAACTATATATAAAGATTTGAAAATTCAACCAAGTTGATATAAAGATTGATTGATATTGCATGTGATATCATATTGTACATGGCTGTAAAACTTTGGTGATATTAAAAATGATTTTCCATACAATGTCCTCTCATGGTCTTTCTTCCACCTTCAAGCTTTATCACATAGGGCACAGTACTCTGCTGTCATTATTTGTGTACTAAATGAATAGAAAGTGAGGGTCTGATTCGCACTCAGTTGTCTGTGCTTTATAAAGCCCTATAGTAAACCAGTGGTTAACCATAGATGGAAAATGTGAACACAGGCCTTTGCAGTTACATGCATTCTTAAATGGAGTGGAAAAGATGAGAAATATCGGGAGAGCCTGACAAAGGGAGGGAAGGAAAGAAAGAGGTTAGGGAGAGAGCAGACAGGAAGGAAAAGAGAGCAAGCAAGCATTGGAAAGAGTCGAGAAAGAAAGAGCAAGTAAGAGAGAGGAGAGGAGGGGGGGGGGGGGGATGAGCAGAGTCTTGAAACATACCAGTACAGTTATTAGATGTGTTTTCTAGAAGGTTATATAGGTAAGTGTACTAACAATTTCAATATATCTTGTAATTTTATTCCAAAGTATTTACAAACATAGTGTACAGTTAAAATACATTAAAATTTGGTCAACATGATCTGGATGGTTCCTATATTAAAAGGATATCTAACTTTAGTAGTATATACTACTCTAAAAGAAAAAAATGAGAAAGTTATGATTTTCTTATAATAAGATTGTAATCACTTGCATATAGGCACTTCATATTGGCTGAATCGGCTGTGTTTCTCTTATTTTTCCGCTTTCACCCAAATCAAATTGTTACATTGCAAGGTTTAGATTACCCTTAAATTAGCCTAGGGCCAAGTGGCGGATCCAGGGGGGTAAAAAGGGGGCATGTGCCCCCCCCCCCCCCCCCCCGGCCAAAAAAATATGTTAAAATAAAAAAATGCCAATGGCTGACCTAAAATTGTGACATTACCATACATGCCAACTGTTCAGATTAAAGAGGAACATTCCTCTTTTTGGGAGAAGATAATTATCATTTTAATGCAGGTGTTCCTCTTCCTGTACAAATTTGTCTGTAGTATTGAATAGGAGAGTTAGGATTGTTCCTCTTTTTTTTGAAAATAGCATAATTTGTACAGATTTCTGATTTTCAAATGTTGACATTACCCCCCCCCCCCCCCCCCCCCCCCCCCAACGGAGCAAAATGTCAAATTAAAGAGTCGTTGCGATTTTTTTGGGACTAAAAAAAAAAAAAAAATATATATATATGTTCTCTTTCCCACCGTGTGCCCCCCCCCCCCCCCAGCAAGAAATTCCTGGATCCGCCCCTGGGGCCTATAGTCAACAGCTAGGTTTTTTAAAAGCTGGTTGCTTGTTAGTTCATAGATTGTGTACATTGTCAATCAGAGTGATTAATCAAAACATTTTCTTTTTGGTAATTCAATCTTAATTCATACCTCTCTGAAAACTAAAAAATATATAAAAAGTATAGAATGCAACAAGATAGAGTATTCATGATCAGAATAATTGATAGCAACAGTCATTACTGTATATATGCATCACATGAGAAACAATATTTTACTTTATAAACTAAGATAGCAGTGCCATTTCCGCTTCTTTGTATTCTACTCTCCAGTCCTGGAGGGCGTTTCACATGCCTCTGTTTGCTCCCATCATTTACTGGTATTGATCTCTCAAGGGACGTACAAATCGTGGTCACAAATCTACAAAATTTACCTTTTTTGATAGTTCGCGATTGAAGGAAAAGATATTATCTAAAGATCATAATTGAGAGACCAATGCAGGTGTGAGAGCAACCAGTGGCATGAATGGCCTGCTATAGGTAATTCCAACTTAAAGTCGATCTTAGTATTTGTGTAACACCCCCCAGATATCAGAAGTTTTCAGTACAGCAAGGTTCTCTTAAACTTAATAGGGTTCGACTGTACATATTGCATCATGAGAAATATTTCTGTTTTTATAAATACCAAGCAATGTCATTTCTTGTTCCAGAAATGAAAGAAAAAATGAATCAGTCATCATTCATCGATAGGAGTTGTATATCGATGGGAGTTGTATATAATGATCAGATTCATTTTGGCTGCAACAAAAGAAATTTCCCTTACCTATTTGCCTCACCCCGGCCTGTGGCAAGAAACGTAAATTTAACTAAGTTGAAATGATGAATTGAAATTACAGAATATCATCTTTCATTGTTGTTAAAGTCATACCTAGCCAAGATTGGGAAATGATCTGAAGGGAAAAGTTCATTAGGACAAGCATGTAAAGGTTTTATCAATTCTTTGTTAATCATCTGTAAGATTCCGAGGCAAGAGAGGGCGCTAGAGTTAAACCATTGATAATCCAAAGTGACTTCACAGTACAGATCCATGTTGGGTATCTTCGGCGGCCACTCTGAACCATCGTAGTCATCATAGTTTGTAAATGGTACTTCATGGCCCTGTATTGTGAAGAAAAAAAAGCAAGATCGATACGGAATAGTATTCCAACTTAATGATAATCAAATCATTATGGTTACATTTGTATAGCACTTCCTACTATGCTTCTAAGAGCTTTATATTGTTATTATTATTATCCCTGTCATCGCGGATTAAATTGCTAATTAATCCACACATAATAGTGTGTACACACTCCGCTCCCTTGAAGTGTCCGGCCAGGCGCCATATTTCCAGCGCACACATGCCAATCCAACCACATTAACGCTTGCATCGTAAAGGGTATACCCATCTAACACCTGGGCGGAGATTGGCAAATGCAGAGTTGTATGTTTTGCCAAATGTGTTTATATAGTGCCGTGGTGGGACTCGAACCAGGAACCTTTTGATCCCCAGTCCGGGGCATATCCACTAAACCACGACACCTCTACATAGTACATACTTGATAATTGTATTGATTTACATGCCCTAATAGAGCTTAAATCAGATAAATATCAAGTAAAATCATATTTTAGGTGTAAATTTATACTTACTTAATGCTTATATCTTTCAACATTGTTGAATTTGCACAGCTTTAATTGATAAAATACATGAACATGGCGATTCCTCTTATTGTAAGAACAGTGAATTAGAACTTTGAATGGGGAGTCATCTTTACAACAACAAAAAATTGCTCCTTCAAGAAAGAGGAGGGGGGGGGGGATGTGATGTCTAACAATTATACTGGTAACTAAAAGATTAGATCATTGAAGATGAATATAAGCATTAATTCATTTGTAAGTATCTCAACATTTGTATTTAGTGTAAGTGTAAGTGTAGTTTACAACTTGTATTTCAATGGAAAGTTTGAGATATATGCCATGTATGTTTTGAATTCATGTTTTTAATGTACATGTTTTTTATGTGAATGCAGGGCTCTCTGAGAGAGCAGGTCCAGAAATGGACTTGAAATGAAACCATGCATCCTGTTGAAAATAAAACTAAAATTTAAAAAAGAATAATAATATGAACGTGACCGACATATGAGAATTAAACCACATCAGGAAAAGTCCAAGTTATTTTGTCCCATGCCCTATCAACCACAAGTCATCCAAGAGTTAGTAATAAATTTGGATTAATAAAGCGTTTAATAAGGAAAACCATCTCTTAGCACTTCTACAGATAGCATTAATATTACCCCAGTCATCAGATTCATTCACACACACAGGTCCACCATTTCCATTCTCTGGGGGGAGTATTCCTACTATTATCAATGGCTTATGATGATTAATACCACAAAGGCTTCGTCATCCTAACAGGTACCCATTTCTCTCCTGGGTATGGATTGGCAAATGTAGATTAATGCCTTGCCAAATGACATAAGTGCTGTGTCGGGTATCGAACCCAGTACGACTTCTAAATATCCAGTCAAGTGCTTAAATCACTCGACTACAGCATCACAACTTAAGTATATCTGAAAATCATATTTATTTGCAAGCCTTACTAGAGCTTAAATCAGATAAATATCAAGAAAAAGGGAATTTTAGGTAAAAACTTATATTCATATTGTAACATATGGGACACTAGATGACCAGCTGAAGTACCTTGGATTTACCCTTGCCCTTCATATACACTGAATTTAGACAGAACTGTGAAAGAAAACAAATCTACACTCAGTGCTTTTACCTACTTTCTGGATAAGGTTTAATGTAGAAATCTTGACTTCATGTATAAAACTATACATTGATCGTTTGACAACAAAAGTTGAACTCTATGAATATATAATACCTGTAAATATATAATATAATAATAATAATAAATAATAATAATAAATTTATATAGTGCAGCTTTTATACAAAATATATTCAGCTGTGCTGGTTAAGAGCTCCTTTTTACTAAATTCTACAAAATAAGATCTCTCAGTTGAACAAATAAATTTTAAATTGGATTTAAAAACATTGAGAGATGGAGTGCTTCGTATTTCTATTGGCAAGCTATTCCATAGTTTGGGTGCAGCATTAGCAAAAGCACGGTCCCCAAGAGTTACTTTAGTTTTGCCATGGGGAATCTGAAACAATAATTTATCTGTGGAACTGCGCAGGCTACGACTGTGTGACTGGACTTTGAGTTAAAGTAATTCTGTGATGTAATTAGGGGCTTGACCATTTAATGATGTATAGACAATTAACAATATTTTGAATGAGATTCTTTGACGGACTGGCAACCAGTGGAGTTCTCTCAGAAGAGGTGCAGTTGAAGTGAATTTCGACCGACGATAGACAAGTCTATAAATGTAATAAATGTAATGACTGCAATTTCAACCAATCAGATGGCTTGATTTATAAAGAGAGGTATATGATATATATTATTAACCGTATCAGACATCTGAGCAAGGCAATTTTTAAATGTTATTGCCCTCAAAGTTTAATTGATAAGCCAACAAAACTATGGGCGAGAAAAATATTATTGACCGCTCAGCAAAGTCAATGGAATTTTGTGTGAAATTTGCAGGTCAATAATTATATAATATTGACTGGCCTTGAGGGAGATACCACATATATTGCCCAAACTAGACTCATATTGCCCTGAGTCAAAGACGAGGGCAATATGGATCTTGTGAGGGCAGTATATGTGGTATCTACCAAAAGTTAAGCCAGTCAATATTTGTATTGTTATCCAAATCAGACATCTAGAGCAAATACATAAATCAACCATGTCAAAGAACTGAACAAAGTTAACTTTGTCAAACAGCAGTGCTTGACGAAATTTTCGATACACTGCAAACAGTGTGCCTTCCGTTCCCTCTGCTAAGGAAAACTAGGGCAATACAGTTTTGCAAATGACCAGCTCAGATGTCTGATACGGGTAATAATAATACACAGTTAACCAATGAACTAATATTGCCCAATCAGAAAAGTAAATGGCAAAATGCGTGTTAAACTAGCAGGCAATAATGTAGAGTCCACATCCTGGTATTTTATCGTTTTCATTGCGCATCTATTACGCGTATGAGAACCTGCGCACTTTGTGACGTAATAATCACACCCAAGACACACTGTTTGCAGTGTATCAATAATTTCGTCAAGCACTGGATGCACATGCAGTGCTGGTTTGACAATGTTTTTGCAACTTTTCATGCTAGGGAACCCTGTGCAGTGTAGGCTACTTATTTTACATAATTTAAGAGTATATATATATATATATATATATATATATATATAAGATATTAAAAGTTTCTAGTTTGCTCTAGATTTCTAGTTTGCTCTAGATTTCTGATGTGGTTAATAATAGTAATATTGACTGCCTAATTCAGGACAATACTTGTCATATACATGAATATATCGCCCTCACCTTCGGTTCAGGCAATGTTGTATTGTTGTATAAACTATAATACAAATATAATACTGTACAATGTAAATGCAGCATAATTTTTGAGACCAACTTAAACCGACTACAAAATTAAACAATGAATCCTAAAGCACAAACCCTAATGTCATTGATATATTCATTATAGATATTTAAATATAAAAAGCTTTACATAATTAGGCAAAACATGGTTAATACACATGTATTTGCTTCAAGATCCATATTAAGATATATTATTATTGAAAATTGAATTTACAAAAAAAAATTTACAATAGTAATATTGACTGCCTAATTCAGGACAATACTTGTCATATACATGCATGTATCGCACTCACCTTCGGTTCAGGCAATGTTGTATTGCCCTGAAGGAGGTCAATATTTATACTTAATGATAGATCTACATATAAAAAGAGTAAAAACATATGAAAGACAATTGGCAGGTTTCTGCACACCGTACTTCAATTTGCTGTAAGTTATTTACACTTTTATGAGATGTAATATGTTATGGTTCCTTGCAAAATACAGGTATTCTTGTCACCTGCACATAGACTATCATTTGAACTCAGTATAATATAAGATAGAATTTCATTCTTCTTCTATGGTTTTTCACATAAAATTGCATATTTATTACTAATACTGTACATTTATTTAAAAGACAATTAATGGCACCTACATTTAGGAATGATTAAAAAAATGAATTATACATATTGTTGGAGAGCTTTAAAAATCTAAAAATATTACATAATTTGGATATTCAATCATTTCACATACCTATTACACAACTGCTACATATTGAAGAACAATGAATTTTAATAGTTTATAAATCTGAATGTATCATAACAATTTGATTATTTACTTGTTTTGAGTTGTTAATACATAAAAAATAGTATTTCAAATAAATGAAATGTGCTTTCATTTACTCATTGACTCCAGAGTTTCCAAAACAGCTTGAATGATTTAAAGAAAATCATGCATTAGTTTTGTAAATGCTTTTCTTGTTTCCTTTGTATATACTAATCCCCTCTTTGTTACTTTTGACAGCCAGAATAGTTGCCTTACAACTATTGCCATCATATTTACCGTGTGGATCATCTACATCTTTTACACTAAGGTAAATTGCCTTTAATAAGACTGGCAGAATTGAAGAAACCTGCAACTTGTATTCATAAGACCTCGACAGTCTTCTCCCAGACTTGAGTGCAATTCTATCTGGAACGATGTCAGTGCAGTTCTATCATAAACCAAACTGCCTCGTACTCTCACACTATTCATGTAATGACAACTTTACATAAACTTATATTTTCCAATGATTGGCAAGTGATCAGAAGGAAAATACTCATTAGGACAGGCATAAAATGGAAAAATTTCCCTCTCGTCCACCATTTCTAAGACACCATAGCAGCAAAGACTTTCAGAATCAAACCACTGATAGTCCAACGAGGCTATGAACTTGCTATCACCGTATTTTTTCGGGTCGGTCAGATAAGGCTTGCGAGGGCGTTTAGGTGGGTAAGGTTTAGAGATCTGTGCTGGTAATTCAACCATGTCTGCTGACCATTCTGCCCCCACACAATCATCTACGTCTGAAAAGGGACTTTCTTGACCCTGAGGTAGTTTGTGGTAAAAGAGGAAAGTAAAACAAATATCAAAATGAGAAAGAATAATCCAAGACCCTCAGGGTCTCAGATAGCAGCCAACAAGATGATTTGATCTATTATCCTCCATCTACAATGTATGCTGGTAGAGACACATGCACTGCTGGTCAATTTTATAAGCAACAATGTCCTTTGGCAAGACATTAATCTACACTTGCCACTCTCCATCCAGGTGTTAAATGGGAACCGGTAGGAAGGAATTCCTTAAATGTTGTGAGCGTCAAAATCGGCAGCCTAGCATAGCTGGGTAATGTTGGAGCGCTTTGAGGACCTTGCAAGGTCGATAGGTGCGCTATATAAGAATCCAATATTATTATTATTATTACTACTGTTAATTGTGCTCCCCCTAGTATGATCCTGTGGAGATGAGTGTACAACCCTGCCAGGTGATGGATTGTGGAAGATGATTGAAGGTACAGGTGATAGATGAGTAGAAGATCTTGTTAACACACAGCTGTCAAAGTAAAAGAACCTGACAATGCTGGCTCTTTTTCCATGGAAAGAATTAATAATAACATAATAATAATAATAATAGTACAAATGTATCTCATAGCATCATTTTTCAAGTAGACTGTGGTGAAAATAGATCATAGCTGTGTAAACATACATATATCACAATATAGCATACATGGCCCATGACAGTAAAGTTTCCAAAACAGGGCATAACATATAAACACAAAACATACTGTTGTACAGATATGATACATAGTTCAATGAGATGATATAAATGAGGTAATTTACATTTCAGAAATAATAATTAAAATGGAAATAAATTAAATATAGGTGTTGTTTTTATCATATGAGAATGAACGATGTTGAAAGTTTACTGCATCATATCTGATCAAGCCTTTACACGATACCTAGCTACATGTTACCTTTAGCACCCTAACCCTAAATCTAATTGATAACCCTCATGCAACCCCAACTCTAACCCTATATCATTAGCACGATGAAGCCTAGAGGGATTGTCTCCAGTCCTTTGTCAGAGAACCAGATTTAAGCGCAGATTCCCTCTTTAACTCTTCCATCAGATCAACAGCTCTAAGAATGAGCACTGCAGACTCAGATTGACATGGTTGTTATGAACAAGTGATAGGATAATAGTGTGCATATTAACTTTATAATGATACAAGGAAAGGCAATGGAGAACTACAGGTATGAATCATAAATGAATATGTATGTACTTACAGCAACTGTTTTGTAGGCACTTTTCAACCCAGGCAAGTTATGCTTGAAACACAGAGGCAAGATGTCAAGTAGGCTCTGAAAAATATTCAAAAGCACATTGATAAATATTATTTATTTAAACAGTCAAACTTGTCTTAATGGCTACCTCGATCTCTATAAAGACCACCCGTCACTTGTGGTCACCCACATTGTCTCCGTCTGGAAAGAAATGTGTGTTGAAGAACCCGTCTTAAAGGATAACCACAGTGGCCACTTACTGTGTTTCCCTTTGGTGGCCTTATTAGACAGGTTTACTGTACTTATAACTAGACATAATAATTCAAATATACTGTAGCCATGATTTCTCATGAGGAATTTGATATCATTTGGCTATATGATAACAAGACAGGTGTTATCAATCACCTAGGAGGACTTCACTTTTACGACTGACATGCGTCACATAATGCAGCAAACAATTAAGGGCATGTACCTTCCACCCACTTTTATAAAAAAAATCGCCAGAAGGAAAGCCGTCATCATAACAACTTTGAAAGACAACAGAAAGCTTTCTGCGTCGGGTGAGCAAGTTTTCGGAAGGATACTGGATTTTACTAATGTTCCAAATTCTAATCGGGGCAGCGCCAGGAGCGTCACAACATGACGGACATGTGCGCTATATAAGAACCCACCATTATTATTATTATTATTACACAGAATTAAACATTCCAGTGTGTACAATCGTCAAGACTTGACAAATAATATGTCCAACATGTTATGATTGGAAAACATAATGAACACAATGTGAAATTTTCGAAAATACTTTTCATAATGATATTTTAGGCCTGACCATAGATGTGTGAGTATTTATGAAAAGGATGTTCAGATCAAATTGCACTTACTGTATACAGTACTTACCGTTTGGTTGAAAATTTGTGATTCTGACAGTCCGAAGATTCGCAGGTTCATATAGGCCTAATACTAAAAAAAAACTTTATTATTCCCAAGGTTTCTAATTATTACAAAGGATCATAATTCCAAAAAAATGTAGGATTCACAACTTTGGAAATGAAACTGGTTTCATAATTCTGAAGGTTCATAATTTCGAAAGAGAGATGATTTGGCCTTTGTAAACCAAGTGCCCCCCCCCCCCCCCACCAGTTATCGTCCATGGTCAATACAAGACAAGACTTACTTTGCTTTCGCTACCAATCTTGATTGGGTATTGACGAATAAACTGCTCTCCATTGGCATCTAGCTTCCCATCATGCATCAGCTGATATCCCGTCATGTTTGGTTCCTGGTTGAAATCTCCACACAGGATGTGGGCATGCTCAGGACCCCCTGCAAACTCCCCTAGGGCATTGATGGCTAACCCTGCCTGTATGGAGGGAGGGAAGAGGACACACAGGAAAGACAGAAAAGTGAAAAAACAGTATGAGCAACAAAAAAAACTTTTTCAATAATGACAAGTTTAATGTTCAAGTACTAGTAAAAGTCTAGTATATCAAATTCAAGCTATTATTCATCCGTTTTCCTTATAATGTTTGTTGTCTGTTTAGCATTAATCTATTATGCAAAGCACTTTGAGCAATTATTTTATTCCATTTTACGCTATTGTATGTAACAATAAAAGGTGTATGTATTATCCATATGATCAATAGGCTTCAAAATGTTGTCCAAATATAGTTTTTACATAATCCAAAAAATGTTGTTTGGGGGATCACAAGAACATGCAGACAAAAGGATTAGTGGGCAAAATGTAGATCTACTATGCCTCAGGTAACAAACAGAATGAGTACAAGAGGGAACAATAAGGACCCAAAATGTGTTTTTAAATAACTAGATCAGGGTAAGAGGGAAAAACAGAAACCCTAAAACTGTATCATATGTGACATTCTGTTTTAGTTGCTTTTCAAAGGTTGATTATCCTATTCTACTCTCATTTAGTTAGCCAAATTTCTTGTTGTTTTGATATAATTTACCTTTGAGGTTTTGTTTCTGTTTCCTCTATGCTTCTCTTGTGTGTGGTTTATTGTTTGCCCATTTATATTTTATTATCATAATGATATAATGACTCAAACAAATAATAATAATAATACAAATGATACAAATAATAATAATAATATTGGTATTGTCAATAATGTAAATTCAGAGAAAATATCTATATAATAAGAATGTTAAAGTGCTATATGTTTATTTTCTTTATATACTCATTTTATGTTGAATCATGTCACATATACATTTTATCTATTTTTCTCTGTGAATAATTAAAACACACAAAAAAATCTTCCTTTTGGACGAATAAAACTTGAATTTGAATTTGTTACTTCTTTTGTTTGAGATAATAGTTATAGTGATGTCACTTTTTGTTTGAGTGAAATGTATGCAGTTTCTTTCGATAGAAATTTGACTTTGTCTTTTTAGGTTTTGTTTCTATTTAATGGCTTTCTTCTATTTTGTTCTACTTTGAAAAATAACAACGAAAAGAGACAAACTAAAGCTTCTTGTCTGGCCCTCATTGTTCATTCTTGCAACTTCCTCTGATTTATAAGGGCAAGACCAAAAACAGTAGTATGTTTGTTTTCTTTTATTATCTTTTTTATCTCCTTTTTTGAGGAGGTTCATTTATTTATGATGTCGGGATTAGATTTCCATAATTAATATTATTCTAATTTGTTGGATAAACACAGAATAGAAAAAGAAGGGAAGGGGATGGGATCTTAAATACACCTACTCTATATAATGTACCTGTAGTGTTATAACATCAATGTTTTTGTAGTCACCAAACAGGAGATGTGTATTCCCAATGGAGACTCTCTTCTTTGTCTTTATATCTTGTAGCTTAGTTAGGAGGACTAAATGATCTTGATTGACGTAAGACAGCACACTCTCCTGAGCTTCATCAGAAAGCTTAGCCTTCTCACATGCCTGCATAGAAATAAAAAGAAGTAATCTATTTGAAAGCAAATCAACATTCTGTTATTCAGCCACAATCAACAATAAACATAGAGGCCTTCAGAAAACTATTACATTTTTTTATATAGTGAAGGAATTGTAAAAGTTCTAACACTATACACCACACCATTGGTTTTTCCATAAATTATTCAAAGAACTTTTTGCAAACACAGCCACGTATATGGAGTCATTCGCAAATGACTCATCAATTCTAGCACGATCTGGAAGCAAGCTGCAGTCCAGACTTTGATAAGCCCTGGGGGTACGTGTTTCACAAAGATCCTAAGTCAAACTTATCTCTAAATTGGGCTTAACAATTATGGAAAGTCGTTAGCATCTATGAAAACAATTTGTACAATTTATTTTAAAAGACATAAAATGTTGATTCAAATCATTCATATTTTATCAAGGAGATTTCATGTTCTTGATATGGAATTAATAAAAATTCTAAAATACTTCAATTTTTGCTTTTGAATATATATTTTTAAAAGGCTACAAATGGCTCTCCATAATTTGTAAGTACAACTTAGAGTTAAGATTGACTTAGGATCTTTGTGAAACACGCCCCAGGTCTAGGATGTCTGCGCCACACTGGGCAAACAGTTCTCACCTTTGCGGCCAGCTCGTTAAAGACCACTCCCTTCTCCTCTAGCATCTCAAATCTGTTTTTCTTGTAAAATGTTGCCTCTCCTTCCATGACACCTCTCACTTTCTTCATATAAGTACCATGGTAACCGAGAGAGTGCATCTCAGGATTTAGCTGATGGGCAAAATAATCTGGTCCAACCTGTTTTAATGAGGAGATATGCAGTAGCATATGGTTATTTTGATAAACTTGCATACAAAATGAATGGTTAATCATAACAAGATTTCTTTCAAACTTTCCCTAGAATGCTTCTATGTGTTTTCTGCTTTATTCTGTAGTTATTTGCCACAAGGTTGAATTCTCCTTTAAGCCATTCATGATATCTAACCAGTCTCACATTTTCACAGTAAAAACATGCAGTTTGATTACATGGTACAGTAGTTATTATAAATGTCATCCTAATATTAAATGTCTTAAAATAAAGTATGGATTTCACTGACATTCTTTAAAAGGTAGGATTTTCTTGTATTTAAGCGTAAAATCAAATAGTTTCTATAATAGATGCTTCTTTTGAATAGATTATATATGTATATAATGTATATAACGAAAAAGGATGCAAGAGAATAATGATACAATTATTGCTGTCCTCCCTTTTGGAATTTTTATTTTAAACTTCTGCAAAGATTTCCAAAAGGGAGGACAGTATTCAGCAAACTAAATTAAGCTACATGTATATGTGACCATTATTCTCATTTCATTTTGCATTGTATTTTTATCCATGAGAGTTGCAAAATAATAATAATAATCTGGACATATATAGCGTTTAATACGGAATGCCGTCTCTAAGCGTTTTACAGATATTACTATACCCCGGTCATTGGATTCATTCACGTACAATGTGCTGTTGTATCTAGGTTATACTTATCTAAATGTTTTATGTTGCTATTTTCAATAAATAAATTACATGTATGTGACAATTAAAACATGTATTCACAAGAACAAAATGTCTGTATATGAAAAATAATGACCTCTTGTAAACAGACAATATGTGGATCATGATGTTTGATCTCTAGCATCAAGGCTCGGTGTCTATCTGACATCTTAAGGAACCCTTGAGGGCAGTATGGATACCAGCCATCTTTGATGTGGCAGTCAGCAAGGATGTTGTAGTTCATCAGAGTGAATATGTTACTGTCATCTCCATGGCAATCTGCAGATGCCGAGAGCCACTCCCTGCGCAGGTTTGGTGGTAGTCCGTCTCTATTTCCATGGCTCATCTTCAGCTTCTCTGCATGATCATCAGAAAAGCATCCTTATAACATCTGCATCTACAATGTATCATACTGCCACCATAAAGATATTTCACGCCCACAACAGCTTCATTTAGACCAGTCATTTCTTGAATTCTGAGTTATAGCTGTTTTTTTCACTCACTCTTTACTTTTTCAGTATTTCCTGTATAACAGTTTCTCAATACTATCAGAACAATTAAAGGACATTGGCCATTGGTTGCATGCTGGCGCAAATTTTAAAACACATATGCACAGAAATATGTAAGTCACTACTTATATTATAATATTAATAGTAGGCCTAATAACTGCAAAAAGAAAAGACAAAATAGACTAATAATAATAATAATAATATTGATATTAATACACAATAACAACAATGGTAAAAAATAATGATAATAGGGGTCTAGTCATAACAAAATTAATAGTAACAATTATAATAATAATAATAATAAAAATAGCAACAAAAACCATGACAACAAAAAATTCTGAACTGATGATATGCTAGACTGGAGAACAACAAATATGAGGGATAGACTATATTATATAGACCTACATGTAATTAACTGATCAAGTCTGACTTTGTCAAAGTAGACGCATGCATGAGGCTCAAGTCAGCAAGCAAAATTCAGGTTGTAATCTCACGTTAGACCTAAACTCAATCTACTCATGAACATTCATCGGGACTTCACAGAATTCCTGTCATGTCTGAAGAAGATTCCTCCCGAGTCCCAGCCAGATGGATTTTTCTTATAATCATATCATACTTGGGTTACCTCCAGATGCAGGGAGCTCCGACGCCTACGGCATCGGCGTCGGAGCTCCCTGGAGTTAGCTTAAGGTGGCGGGTACGGTTAAGGCTTTATCCACAATAGTTCAACTTATTGTTAAAAATCAACACTGTTGAAATCGGAAAAATCGAAAAAATTGCAAAACATGTTACCTGTTCTCGAGACGTCGTTTGAATTGATGTTCTCTCCGTCCTTATTTAGGTGGAAGTCGACAATTCAATTCGATCACCACAGCTCTTCATCACACTCGATCAGGGAGCTAGGTTAGTTTGAGGTGCATTGCGCATCGCCAGAATGTAAATATAATTGTAGTCTTTAGTACCAGACCTGGATTTGCTTTCAATTGATTAATCAATTGTTTTCCAAAAAGCCTGCATATCAATGAACTCGGATCTAACTTCTTTGCACACAATATTACTGTGACCGTGTTTATTTGTCTGCTCATGTATACCTTTATTTAAAATACATTCAGAATGCAATTTGGTATATAAAGTTTAATACTGTACATGTTAATACAGAATTAGCATTTAGAGCTGCGCGCTGTTTTTGAATAACCAATTTGACAAAGCCTTGAATCCTTGAACCCCAAACACACAGATACGGTTGGTGATTTTGACAGACTGCATCATGAAATGTAGTAGGTCAGTCCAATAACCTTAATTCAAAGGCAAAGCACTGAGCTGCTGTTTTTGAATGAACAATATGACAAAGCCTTGATCGAATCCTTGAACCCCAAACACACAGATACGGTTGGTGATTTTGACAGACTGCATCATGAAATGTAGTAGGTCAGTCCAATAACCTTAATTCAAAGGCAAAGCACTGAGCTGCTGTTTTTGAATGAACAATATGACAAAGCCTTGAATCCTTGAACCCCAAACACACAGATACGGTTGGTGATTTTGACAGACTGCATCATGAAATGTAGTAGGTCAGTCCAATAACCTTAATTCAAAGGCAAAGCACTGAGCTGCTGTTTTTGAATAAACAATTAGGACAAAGCCTTGACTCCTTGAACCCAAACACACAGATACGGTTGGTGATTTTTACAGACTGCACATCATGAAATGTAGGTCAGTCCAATAACCTTAATTCAAAGGCAAAGCACATGAGAGACTGAAAAACAAGTCTGAAAAGTCCAAAAAGCCTGCATATAAATGAACTCGGATCTAACTTCTTTGCACACAATATTACTGTGACCATGTTTATTTGTCTGCTAATGTATACCTTTATTTAAAATACATTCAGAATGCAATTTGGTATATAAAGCTCAATACTGTACATGTTAATACAGAATTAGTATTTAGAGCTGCTGTTTTTGAATGAACAATATGACAAAGGCTTGAATCCTTGAACCCAAAACACACAGATACGGTTGGTGATTTTTACAGACTGCATCATGAAATGTAGGTCAATCCAATAACCTTAATTCAAAGGCAAAGCAATGAGAGACTGACAAACAAGTCTGACTACCGTAAATGCAACAATATTAACAAAAATGACACAAAGAGACAGCATTTCTTTCATTTGATTGCATATATTGAATTGATTCTCTCTCCTTTGTACAAACTGGATATTACAATAGACGGTCAGCAAAAGAATTCATAACAATTTTACAAGTAACATCATTGTAACATTTGGGTGATCTGGTCTTAAAATTAAGGTCTCAATCTAAGCTCACAGTGTACTGTGTTATCCTCACAAGATTAATATTTAATTCAAGGACTGTCCAATAGATTTGATCTTTAAGCATGTACAGTTTACATGTAGTTTAGATACAGCACTATGAAAGGGTTAATGTTCTTTTGCTGTATTCATGTCACTTACTTTACATTCAGTCACATAAATATTTAAATCAAGGCAATAACAAATAAATCTATAATCCCCAAAGATCTTTGAATATGGCATAAAAAAAAAGAATAAAATCAGCTATAAAATATGGATGTGTCCAAAATTGTTATGATTCAAATAATTATAAAATAACATATTAAGCAATTGCAGGCTCATTGTCTTTAAAAATATCACATATATCACCTTGATTTAACTCCTTGAATACTAAGCCTGAGGTCATTTTACTTGGGATGAAACTTAATATCTAAAAAACATGTAACATATCCAGACTGTTTACATAAGTAATTAAGTATTTGAAACAAGAATAAATCTATCCTAAAATGATTCAACAACACATTGCAGTTTTAAAATAATCATTATCTGTAACAGTGTCAGGCAATATAACGTAAAATGGCATGAAAATTTTACAAGTACAGTATATGTTGTAACTAGCTATTTTTAATATACCGGTACAGGTATTTTTAAGAGCAATCCCTGTTCCTTTCAGGAGATATGACAAGTATGATATTCTTTCACTCCCAAAATATTTTTCATCTTACCCAAACACTGAAAACTATTTCTTTTAAAAATACTTAACAAGACAGGACGGAGAAATTGTCACCAGTATTTCAACAAAAGTACAAAACTTTACAAAGAGATCACTATAACGCAATGTGATATACATTTTTTGTATACATATGTACAGTAGTTCTTATTACTTACACAAATAATTCTGACTAATGAGAGCAAAAAAGACTAGCAATTCATTCTGTATTGCCATTCTGCAAAAATGACAGGCGATTCTATCAAATTCATTGGGTGTTAAAAACAGTGTTGCAATAAAAAAATAAAAAAAAGCTTTAAAGTTCATTGTATTTAAATAGCCGCTTGGGAAAATTTGAATGAGATTAGGGGGAATCTGTTGCAAACATAACCCATATTGACAATTTCATTTGTTTTCTTCTTCTATATTTAGTCTAACAAAATAAACAAATGCAATCACAAGCACTAAAACTACAATATAAATTCAAAGTTATGATTATAACTAATAAGTACTGAAATTAGGTTACAGCTTTAAAAATTAGCACTCAAATATGATCTGTTATTCAAAAATACCAAAGTTATGTAAGATATTGAGAGGTAAATAGACATAGTAATATACAAAATAAGTACCATTTCACTGGTACTAAAACAAGGAATATATTAACATCGTTTTTACAGGCTATACACATTGGCAAGTTCTCCTATAAATCAAAATCATCATAAATATAATTTACATGCACAATTATTCAAGGTGATTTTATAAATCATTCAATAATGCAAAAGTGAAGTGATCTGAATACTGCTCTGAGTACTGAAAACAGAATTAGTTAGAATACACTGGTGCAGACCTGCCAACCTCTGGAGTTCAAACCTGTATTCTTTAATCCCAAAAGTTGTATTTTACTGACAAAAATTGTATTAAAAAAAAACATGGATCAATGCCTCTTATTGTTCCTAAAAATACAGGAAGACATTTTTGTATGGATCACATTGGTTGAATATGCATGATTTCGTCATGACTGGTGTGTTCGATGAACCAATGTACATCCCCAAATTGCCGAAGTGAGATGCTTGTAAGATACTTTACAGGACAGAATGGGCATTTTGCAATTGAAAATGGCACACATACACAAAATACCAAAAACAAAAAATCATATTTTATTGAGGAAATCGTACTTTCGTTTTTTACTTCTAAAAATGGTACGAAATACAATTAAATTGTACTGGTTGGCAGCTCCGCTGGTGTTAACGACTTGTAGATTCTGAATCTTGTAGTACATGGACATGTAAGAAATCAATAGTTAACCACTAGCAGATTTATAAAGCAGAATCAAACACTCAAATTTCTATGCTCAGATGCATATTCTGCAAGTAATATATTGAGCAAAACTGTACATGCAACACTGTAAGAAACTAAGTTGAACACTGTTTCAAAAAACTTCTAAAAAGTATAAAAAGGTAAAAAAGTTTAATAATCGTTCATCTCATATAAACCATAATCTTTATGTCAGCCGTTCTGTTCATAAGAAGGGTAATGACCAGATGCAAACATTCACTTGCTCTTTTCTCTAATACATCATACCAGCCCATCAGTGATATGCTACCATCTGCATTACCATCAAAATATACAAGCCTTGCTTTAACTTCTTTTTAAAATAAATTCATGAATGCATGATTTAATTAACATTATGGTTATAGTTCCACCAAGGCCCGGTTTCATAAAATTTACTTTCAACAACTGCAGTAATCCTACTATAAATTTGCTCAAAGCTAATTAGATTAATCAATATCAGTAGCTTTTTTTCTCCATTAATTGTACTTATAATGAATTTTATGAAACAGGGCATCAATAAAGAGGAAAACATGTCAACTATTCTTTTAACTATGTGGTATTTTTTCTTTATACCACAACTTTTTTGACCGGACCAGTTTCCAAGACTGGAAGCCTTGCAGCATCCAAGGGGGATGATTTACAAAGAACAAAGCATTTTATAAGTTGAAATCGCACAATGACTTGCCCATCACAGACAACTTACCCTTGAAAGTTCCCCTTCCTCAAGTTCCCCACATTATACAGTCAAACCTGTCTATAGCGACTACACAGGGGAAACACTAAAAGTGGTCTTTGTAGACAGGTTCCTTTAGTACATGTCCCAATGAAAAACCATCTTCAAGGGAAACAAAAAATGTGGTCTTTGTAGACAGGTGGTCACTAAAGCAGGTTTGACTATAGCACCATATGTTTTATGTACTGGCGATGATGCAGCAACTACTTATATGTATCTTGAAATCCCAGAGATTAGCTTCTATACAATTATCATGCAGTAATTGTCCAAATCAACCTTAATATAAGTGATCCTATCTGACATTCACATCAGCTACACATCTGTTTCTTTGCCATAAAAGAGATCATTTTCTCACTGTTTCATGCATGTGATTCATCACTGTCCAAATGTTTTGACTTGGTTTTCTTCTTTCCTCCTTTCTTTGTCATTGATCCCAGCTCCCCTCCCAGGAGATTCTCTCTTGATCCTCTCCGTAGCCTTGCACTCCTTGGTGTCACCCCATCCCCGTCCGTCCCTGAGTCCTCCATGTTATGACTGTCATTCATTTTGAGTTTCTTCCTCCTCAGTGGTGTCCTGGTAACGGAGGCCTGAGAGTCATCCAACTGAGAGTTACTGGAGAGATGGGGTGCTGTACGTGACCTGGAGTGACCCTTTGGAGGTCGGGCGTGGCGCGGGGATTCACCGTCTGTTGTCATGACATCACTCTGATCCAGGTTGGCAGCCAGTCTCACAGTCTTCTTCTTCTTCTTCTTTGGACTAGTAATGATACAAGAATTAACAAACCTAAACATCAGAAGGAAAATACAGACAAATTTGCATAGCAATGCCATTCAAGGGAAGCTAGAGAAGTGGTCTAAATATAGTTCCGAAGATAGATCAGAAGAGATAACTCTTAAAAAAGGAGAAAAATTGTCTTTTAATCGTTAAAGCCGCCAAATAGAAAATTACCACTGATTAGAAGGAAAAAAATAGCTTTACGGATGTGGGACTTATGCAGATTTGACTATTAAGCACCTAATCTTCAGCAAGAAATGTAGTTTATATTCATTATTACAGCAGGTTTTGACCGTACTCAAATAAACATGAGTAACTTAATTTCATTTTTTTCTTAAGGGGTTTATATGGAGTCTAACCAACATCACAAGGTATTGGTGTCATAGTCAAGAAGCTACATTGCCAGACCATAGATCACATGGTTTGCCCTTCAAGTCCTGCCCTTACATGGTATCTCGGTTCACAGCCGGTTTATGACATGATTGGCAGGGCACTCAGGGAAAACAGTATTGATACTGATGAGGCCACCCTGGGTAGACAAAACTTATTAAATATGAGGTAAACTAAAGTTTAGATGACTTACGTTGCAAGAGATGAGACCAGTTCTACTTCACTATCCTCAGCTCCTGATATAAACTTCAATTCACCTGACTTGGTGGTCACAGCAGAGAACTGTGGATCAAACATGACACATCAACGCACAATTTACTTTCTAAATCATCATGAAAATATACATTGTTAACCAAAATCTTTTGCGTGCATGAAAAGTTCATAAATCTTGCCGGTGGTTCTGGAAAGTTTCTTGCCAAGAAAGTGGCTGTCCTCAACATTTTGCAAAAGTTTCATGTCGCAAAGTTTTAATGTATTACAGTCTACCTTTTTCTAAAAAACAGCTTCAAGAACCCCCCCCCCCCCCCCAGTCAAGATAAAATAGTCAAAAACTAAGACAATAGAGTGGGAAAAAATATCACATAATTTATTTTAACTTTTTATTTTTTGAATAATTATTTTCAACTCTGAATAAATTTTCTATATCCATCTTTTCTTCCAAATCCTTAGCTTTAAAATATGTTTTTTTTCTATTTCCCATTTTTTCAATAAGAAAATAGAAAATATATTAAAATAGAGAGAAAATAGCCCCAATATATATTTTCACATGTGAAATACAAATAGGTCCATTTCAGTTAACCATTGCAGTTTCAATGAGCAGATAAAATACCCCCACCACAATTAGCAGCAAATTTTTAAACTTGGATTTAAACATCACAAAGGATCCTATAAAAAAAGATAAGATTCATAAAATATGATTTCTCTTCTAGATTCCATGGATTGCTGCCATCTCTTAACTATTGTAATCTGTTCATCTATTGGAATTATTTTGATTTATAACATTAACTGAACATGAAATAAAACAAAAACATTATGCCTTGGAACTACTAGTAAATGATCTCAAGAAATGTGAATATGAACTTTGTAACTTGCTCTCGATCATACCCTTTCTTTGGACGGCTTCTTTGGTGTCGACCCGGCTCTATGTTGACCTTTGACCTGACTCCTCCTCTTTGGTGAGCCTGCATCAGTCTCATCCAGACCAGATTGCTCTAGCTGGTAACGGGATGCCATCTGTGTCTGATCTTCTTCTTCACCTAGTAAAAAATAAAAGCATTCCAAAATCAGACAGACAATTAAAACTGTGATCTACGTGTGCATTTAGATAGGTATTATGGAACTAATTCTTCTTCACTTTGTACAATCATGGGCATAGTGATCTACACAAGGCTAAACAGGGTCTATAAGACAAACTCTGTTTCAACCAAGAACAGAAACATGACACTTTTCAGAAGAAGAAAAGAGTTGATTAGTACCAGAATCATTTATTGATGGACATGAATGTATTAATGTAAAGATTACAAAACTGACACAATGAAAATGAAATATATTCGTCTTGCTTCAGTTTTACAATGCCTTCTATTCATCTCAAATCTTACATATTCCACAAGCAAAAACATTTCCATTCCTTAAAAATTAAACCTAAAACTACCTGAGCACTGGAAACTAATTATAAGAAGTACAAGTACAATTCAACTTTTGGATATCTTCCGCTGAACTGTTACGAACCTTCATAACTGACATAGTTAGCAGGGAAGTAGCCTTGTTGACCATTAGCTAGCTGTCCCATCCACCAGTTCTCATTATCTTTATGAAGCACTGTTATCTCATAACCCACTTCCAAACTGAGCTCATCCGACCGCTGTGCTTTGTAGTTGTATAGAGCAACCACCTTGTTGTATTGTTTGTGTTTGTCTTCAACCACGGGGGCTTTGAAAGTGAATATGGCCTTGCCGTCAGATTCCTGAAATAACAAATTTCAAGGTTAAATTCAGAAATGAACTTGGCATTCTACAAATTCTGATTTCCTTAAATATTGATTGATCCAATGAGCAGCATAATATTCTTTTAATTATGGACAGTGATTCAGAATGTTGACTTTCAGCATGAGACTTTAATTTTTTATTAAACTTGATTTTTACTTGATTTTTGATCTTCATAATTGATAGCAACTATAACAAATAATAAAAGACCAGGGGGGTGTTTCATAAAGCTGTTTGTAAAGTTTCCAAATGGGATGCTCAATCATTATTAACTGCTTCAAATAAAGTTGAACTGTGCAGATGTAGATTAACATTCTTATTATAACAAACATTTTTAATGCAAAGTATATTTTAATTTAATCAAGGTCTTTGGAAATATCAGGAAAAAATTTGGCATCCTATCTGGCACTTCATATACAAGTCGTTCGTAAAGTCATGCGTAACTTTACGAACAGCTTTATGAAACACCCCCCCTGATCTGTATGACACAGTACACATATACTCTGGGTGAAAATTGTTTCAAGGTCAATATTAGATGAATTCCAAACATAAAGCTTACTTAGAGCTATCAATGGCCATAACCTAAAACCCAATTGCAACAAAAGCCCTAACCCTATATCCAAAGCAAATGAAGATGGACCATACATCTGTTAGGAGCTGGAAGAGCATGAACTCATATACAAGAACACAAAGTTACTGCCATTATATAATAAATATATATCTGTAAAGCGCTTTGAGAGGGCCTACTGTTTTGAAAAGTGCTATATAAGAACTAGCTATTATTATTATTATTATTATTTATTTATAATACAGGGATCAGAGATATACATATACATGTTCATGTATCTCTGAAACAAACAGATTTTGAACTCACAGCATTGAGGTTGATAGTTGGCATGGGTCCTTTCTTGTAAGGTGTGCTGGTAAAGCCTGGGCCTCCTCTACCTCCTGTGAAACCAAGGGTACCTGCAGTCTGGGCCGGTGAGATGGAGGAGGAGGAGATCAAATCATTATGTAACAGTTCTAATACTAAATAGTGTAGAGAGCACTTCATATGAAGAGGAGGGGGAAAGGGTAAGGGGGTCTTAATGTTCACAAAGCTATATGTAGTGTTACAACAACAACAAAAGAATGAGATGTATGAGTAATGGATACAATAAGAAAAGGAGATATCAATTTTCTGAAAAAATTGAAGTAAAAATAGATGGGCAGAGAGAAAGCAATAGAAAGGGAGGAAAAATAATTCATCACAATAATGGATGGACAAAAGAGGCATTGAAGAAAGTTGTAGGCAGAAAACGATAGAACGGAATGAAAACCAAGAAAGTGAAAAGAGAGAAGGGAGACGATGAAGAAAGAGTGTGAAATTCTACTTGTCAATCCAGTTTGATACACAAACTGTATACCGAACATAAAATAGCATGTTTTGATGAATTTATCACAAAAAGAAGAAGAGAGTGAACAATAATAACACCTCATGTAATAAAAACTAAGAATTACAACACAAATGAAATGATAATATGGCAGAATTCATCATGAATTTCTTCTGCTCACATATATATGGATGGCAATTTCAAAATAGATCATCATGGCCTATACACATAAAGGTATAATATATGATGTGAGTTCAATGTCTATACCTGGGTATGCCAGGGTGTGGTGGAGTAATCAAATGTAGATCCCCATGTCTCATAGGGGGCCGATGCACCAGGGGTGTAGCCGGGGGCGTGGCCGGGGGCGTAGCCAGAGGTGTGCATGGATGCAGTGGTTTGATTGAGATCAGATGGAGGATTCTGGATAGCCTAGATACAGACAGAGGAGGTGGGTGTGGAGAAAACAACATGCAATGAACATGGAAACATAAGACAGAGTAAACAATGAGCATGCTTGTTATTTCTGATCACAAAAAGTGTTAATGTACATCGAAATGTGAGGTTTCACAGCAGACAGTTGTGAAAGGAAGAACACATATGATCAAGTACTGCTATATACTGTTATGAATTGAGCACAACAAAGACTTTTTTTTCCTTCCATTTTAGTGTCAACTTTGATGATAAATGTACCTCCCTTCTACGGACCTTGTGGTACATGAAGATTAACAAAACAAGTAATTCAATAAAGTCCACAACTAGTATAGCATATGTTTAAAAATAAACTTTTTGGTAACTTTCTACAAAACACATGACAAACCTATGACATAGATATGCTTTACACAGGTTTTGTTTTTATTTATAAAAAAACAACAAGGATTATTCAATCCAAGCACACAAACAACAATAACAATAAAAGTTAAAGATAAACTTGGGTTCTGGTAATGAAATAGCATTTCATGATAAACTAGCTGTTTTAATTAAAGTCTGACTTTTAAATTCAGATATGAAATTAATCATGAATTAGTTATTTAATTATCATGCAGCAGATACAGCAAAATATAAAGAAGCTCACACAAAAATTGCTGTATCACATTCACTGAAAAATAAAAAGAAGACAAAAAGGGGCACAGACAGGTGGATTGGACGTACTATACATGCATGTCAATCAATATTCTCATTTCCCTTGGAGCTATAAACACCCTGTATAAAAATCATTGAGCAGGTATTATTCATATGAGGATTTAACATTCATTATAAGTTTCCTTTGATACTGTGAAAATTACTTTCTGTCATTACCAGAACCCAAGATTGTTTTTGACAGCCACACAACAATCCCACTTCATGCATTATACCTTTAGCGTTTGTTTGAGGGCCTGATAGCGAAGACAAAGAGGTACAGGGTGTTTCAAGGAAGCACAGCAAAGCAGCACAATAAATTCCATTAGCAGAATGTCAAAACAAACAAATCAGCAAGGATTAACAAGAAAAGCAAAGGGAATATAAACTATAACAGAACATTAATTTCATTGAGGAAGAAGCAAAATGATGATCGATGTTATTTAATAGATTTTCAAGTCTTGCATAAACAATAAACTTTAATATATGCAAACTTGAGAGGATAGCTACCCCAAAATGAAAGAACAACCAAGTAACAGGAAAACATTGAAATGACAAAAGAAAAACCCTTTTAAAATGTGAATTGAAAATGACAAATAAAAACAAAGTGAAGAAAAAAAAATTTATAGGATAAGAAAATAATTGTATTCCAAGTTCCCACAACCATCAGATGAAGCAAACAAAACTAAATGCTTTAAAAGCAGCGCTTACCAAAATATTAATTCATTTATGACAGAAATGAGGAGGAAATTTCAGAATGAGTGTTTTATAAAAAAATCTGAAACATGTGTTTGGCATGACACTATAATCACCTAAAGGGAAACCATACATTGCTAATGTTAATATCAATAAAATGATTCTCAGTTCAACAATTGATGAACGAATGAAACAAAGGAACAAAGCATTGGTAAAGAATATAAATGAAGCTTATATTTAGAGAATTTCGACCAACTAACTACAGAAGCTTTTCCAAAGGGTTTCCTATTGTGTAACAAAGCAATCAGACAAAATGGCTATTGTAATTAAACACAAAATATCCTTTACATTGCAAATGAGCAAAAATAGTAACATTTTAAAACTGAAAGAAAATAGACAACAAAAAGCATGCATCAAGAGTATTAGATGGGGTTATCGAATGTAAACAGGATTCCAAGCCCTTTATGAAAACATGACCCCCCCCCCCCCCCCCATGAATTTCATTAAAAAGGCAATTCACACATTAAAAAATACCAAAGCCAATCATCCAGTGGGTCTACTTTTTGGTCATGGCACAAAATAGAGGAGACTGAATGTTTATTTTTTTTGACAATGATCTTTTCTGATTTTTTCTTTTCTTTCAGTGATTTAATTCCCCTAGATTTATTCTTCAGGCTTTCACTGAAATCTAGATTAGCTGGGAACCCGGCTACTATTTGTCTGCTATACTACAAGCAAGCTTTATATTAGGAAGAACACCACACAAAACTAGCAATGAAAGTCAGGCAGTCACATACCATGACAGAAGCAAGCTTTCTCTTGACGCGTGCAAGACGCTCATGTTTCTTATCCTCAATGTCCTGGTCTATATCATGTTTAGTCCGTAGCGTTCCAACAAGACGTTCTTCTTCCTCTGTCACGTTGCCATCTTCAGCCTCCTTCCCAAGCTTCGTCCTGGCAAAACCCATGGTCAAATGTGCAACTATATACACAGAGAAGAAACATGATTGAAATGATGAAAGATCGATACACAGTTGTTTTTCATTTCTTGTCCATGTAAGATAGGTCAGCACTTAGGAGGTAAGTGGATTTGTTTTAAAAAGAAACTTTCGGATCATCATGTACTACACCATGGAAAGTAACTCAGTGATGTTTGATAGCTGATCATCCATTTCAAACAACTTTCATTTGACTCACACATCTCAGCTTTTCTCCAAATATTCATGTAGATTATAAGTTGAAAAGAAGAGTGTTTGAATGGACAAGCATCAAATAGGATACTTTTTATACTTTCACAAAAGATCATAGTCATATACATTTCAAGTACGATTTACCACAATAAAAACTAATCATGTTCAATACACTGCCTTATATGCAAACAGAATAATCTTGCTATTAGTAAAGCAACAGAGAATGTATAATATCCCCATAAAATTAAATACCGGTAAATCAATATTTCTAACTCATTGGAGATCCCCCCAAAATGTACATTTCTTGCAGGATTTGTATCATTGAAGATATTGTGTTAGGGTGTGGGTTACTAATGATTTTATATTAGGTTCAGGTTCGGGGTTAGGTATACACTAGGAAGCTTGTGGGTTAGAACTTGGTTTACTATTGATGTTAGTTTAGGTTCAGGTTTAGTGTAAGGTATACAGATGAGTCTTGTGGGGGTGTCGTGGTATAGTGGTTCATACATCTGACTCTCTATCCAAGGGTTGAGGGTTCAAATCCTAGCCCGGCACTAACGTCCTTTGGCAAGACATTAATCCATATTTGTCTTTTTCCACCGAGCTATAAATGGGTACCTAGCAATCGCTGGGGTAATAATAACTGCAGGCCCTCAGGAAGAACAGTATAGATGCTGATGAGGCTTCTCTGGGTTAATTTTTTTTTTTTATTTGATTCAGTTTATTGAAATAAAAGAACATGCAGCTGGGAAGCTGAAATTATTCAATTTACAAAGTCAATATACAACACAATAAACGATCAAAATGTGAATGACTCAAACGTACGAAAGGAATGATGTTATGGGGATTATGCAAGGAAATCATGACTTTATTTGTTTTGTGGAAGGAAACTAAATAAGAAACTAAATTTGTCTGATATTTTGTACATACCCTTAGCATCATAGATGTAGACTTGTATTGGATGTCCCTCACCCCGCGAGCATAGCGCCACCATGTGTTCATGAGGGTGGTAGTCTACATCACATACAGGTTGTCTATAACCAAGCTGTGTGTAGGCAGCTACCTGCTCACCTATATAGGGCATGAAAGAACATGATATGAAATGCAAAATGAAATTAAAGTTTAATTCTTTTCATCTTTCACATTCTCTTCCATTTATTTACAACTGTTTCTTTGTGTTAGCTACTCTCTATAATGGTTCTATTAGACATTTTTCATTTACTGTAAATTCTAAAATCAGCCATTTTTAGCCTCAACTTTAGCTTGACATTCACAAGGGTCCAGACTCCCAAACTATAAACAGGTGCTCACTAACCCTAGAACAAAATACCTCCTATAGAGCCCTGTTTACAAAAGAAAATGCATATTAACATTTAAGCCGACTGAACATGCAAAATACATGTATGTATACATTTTGTCACTCTTATCTATTGTTCAATCTTGTCTTGCAACCCATAGCAAATTAGACCTTTTTTTCCAATTCATTTTTGTAACATACATGATAAGTTTTGTTTTTGTTAATGAAATTGTTGCCTTCTTACCAGTATCTGTGTTCCACACATAGCCATGTCTATCCTCACTCCCTGAGAAGACGAACGACCCACAAGGAGAGAGAATGCTTCGGATCTGCTCCCGGAAATTCAACACACCAATGTAGTTCTGCATCACACAAAACCTGTAACAAATTAACAAAGACAAATGTATGTACGATATGAAATATTAAACACTCTACAGTTGCTTGATTGCATTGAATAAGAGCTATTACCTGGTATTTTAAAAAACTCAAACTTAAGTCAGCTGTACCATTAACTAGACTTCCTTCGGCTTTTTAGCTTTTAGTTAAATCTTTTTACAATTTCATTCACTTGTAGAGAAATTCTGTTCCCAACCTTGACAGATAACTTTATTCACTGGATAAGGTATTCAATCAGTTCATAATTATTTCATGCTTTTGCAAATTGGAGTCTAGCTAAATGAAGACAAAGAGACCCTGTCATGTGAAAGATGTAGTGATGGCCGACACACCAGGCACACAACTGCTCACCAACTTGTATCTGACCGGGCTATTTCTTTTAAACTCACTCAGGAATATAACAAATCATAACACTGCATATCAAATCCTATTGCATATCTACTTGCAGTCTGGTTTTAAGTTTTTGGATTGCCAATGATTTTTTGTACTCACAGTCTGAGGTCGAGCATACGGATGTGATTATCCCTGCAGTGTACAATAACACGACGCCCACTAGGATGTACCTGAAGACTGTTGATTGGAACTCCCATCAGTTCTTTATCCTCTACATGCCGCCTCATCATCCAATTACCATCAGAACCTTGACAGCAACGCAAAAAGAAATTAGAACATGGACACTGTTGATACAAAACAACAATTTATTCTTCCGCTACGCTTTCCTACATTCATACAAAGAGTTATTTGGAGAAGCTGGATGGTGGAAAGTGTCTTAATTTCTATCTGTGAGAAAGCGATAATGTTAAGGCCAATATCATAAGGATCACCATCAGCGAACTATATCCCTCATCTTCAGACATGCTCTTGAAGACTGTAATCAATCACTGGTAATATAAAGGTTTCTAGTAGACACACTCCAATGCCCATTACCATCATCACCACCATCACCACCACCATCACCACCACCAACACCACCACCACCACAACCAACAACACCACCACCATTATTACCATCGCCACCACCATCACCACTAAACCACCACCACCATCACCATCACCACCATCACCACCATCACCACTTCCACCACCACCACCACCACCCCCACCACAATCACCACCACCACTATTACCATTGATCATCATCACATGAGTTAGGCTTACCTGCACTCTTCCAGACTATGATTTTCCCCTCACTATCCCCAGAATACATGAAGATCCCATCTGGTGAGAAGGCTATGCTATTGACAAAGCCTTCATGGCCTTTCAACTCATACATCAACTGAAACATAGACAAGAAAAAAGGTAATTTGCAAGAGTATAACAATTCACTTGAGGATGCTTCATCATAGCGTAACTGTAATCATTTAAAACACATTTCTATACTTCGTTTCAATCTAAAATGGAAAGCCTTTGACCGAACTACTTAGTTTGTTTCTGGGGGATTTTTTTGTAATGGCAAGTCATTGGTATACGCTACATCTGACATCATATACTTAATTTTTTTTTGAGTGTGTGCATGTTTAGGTTAGGGTGAATATCTTACATAGCAATATACTTGAATTTCAAAGGGAATTATTAAAGTCCCAATTCAATTCTTTTTGCATACATTCTTCTGTGGTTAGCTGTGGTTGGTTAATATTGCTATATATCCAGGGTTCAACTTTGAAAATTCAACAGCATATTTCACCAGCCCAAGCATGTGCCATACATATTCTTTTTGTCTACTAGCTGTAGAGCTGCATTACTTGTTACGTACCTCCCCAGTCTGTGAGTTGCTCTCAATGCTCCACACCCTGATGAAGTTATCATAGCCACCAGTGATGATGAATGTCTCATACGTGGGATGATAACGCGCTGTGTACACAAAGGATGGGTGAGGGAACACCTTCAGCGC